GAAAAAAAAAACGATAAAAATTTTAATTTATCACATTAGAACTCATAAATATTTGTTTGTGTGTTATAGAAATATGTTTGTTTCTCTTTCTCTCTTCACACATCATTGACGTTTCTAATTAACCAATAGTAAAGAATAGTGATTTCGAAATTTCTTATATAATTACTTTTGTTTTTTTTTTCTTTGTTTTTAGAATTAAAAAACAAATTTGTAAAATATATTATCTAATTTGATCTGCGTTCTAGATAAATTTTGGAGCTCAATGAACAAAGATTTATATGGTAGGTCAGCTGTTAATACCCATCACTTTAATTGTGATATTCTGTTAGTTAGTTAATTTTTCTTTGTTACTACAATGTTGATTTTTTTCTTTTTATGGCGACAATTGATACGTAGCTGTATTGTATAATTAATAGGAGAGAAAGAGAAATTCAATAAATTTCATACATGCACACATTCTAACATAATTAATAAATGAATGACAAGTTAAGTATTATTTGATAGAAAAAAAAATTTTTTTATATGAAATGAGGTCTACGTAATTGCGGAACTATTTTTAAACTGACTACTTTATATATAATTAGAAATAATAACTTGATTTTAACTACTTCTAATAAAAGGCCTATGAAGATTAGTTAATTTTTGTAGTTTACACTTTATTAGGCAACTAGTGTAAAGATTCTACAGGTGATGGAAATCGGAACTTTCAGATTAGTTCTGTGAGCGTCAAACATTCAGAGCTTTAAACTAGTATCCAATCTTTTAAATTCTCTAACTTTAATTCTAATCATTTTGTAGCATTGAAAATAGAATTCCATAATTTCGTTTATTACTTTTAATAGTCGGTATATATATATATATATATATATATATATATATATATATATATACCGTTGTTGTTGAACAGTTCTCTTTAATCTCCTAAAGTTCCTTAGGATTCATATTTCATTTTACTAATCACTACGATACATTCATTCGAAAAGTTAAAAAAGATCACTAAATAAAGTTATATCTAGTTATCGTATATATGTCATTTCTCCGTGGTTTTAAATCAACTGAATGAAGTTCATCTTGATCATTACAAACAATAAATGGGGTAAAAAAACATAATAAATGTTAAGCAATGCAGTGTTCTTATTTGTATTATCAGTTTTCTTGACTTTTTTTTTTACCTGGTTGGTGTCCCCGTGGTTAGCATGACCAGTGGTTAAAAACATAGCTGAAAATCGTTTGGAATGGCTCTAGTGCATCCGTCCTTTGTCTTTCTCCAAATTCCGAGATTCGAAATTCCACATGACTGTTTTATGTTATTATTTTACTATTTTCTCGAATCGTATCTTCGATGTCTAATCTTTTCTATTACCACTGATACCGTTACTGTCTCTACTATTCTAGGATTTCGCCTGACAACTTTTTCAATACTAACGGCGTTTGGCAACTTTAATCGATGTATAAATATACCATTTTCTACGTTGTGACTAACTGACTGACCCTAAAAACTTTGTGGAACAAAAGTAATTTGCTTTGAACGTACTTAGAATCATTTTCAACTTTTGGAGATGCGAATTTCTTGATCTTAAGTACACCAAGAGAACACAGTACAAAATGGTCTTGAAAATCTAGGTTTATCTTGTCATGTTTTCGTCCAAATTATACTCACTAACTTTGACTACATTTAATTTAGTGACTTGATATCGCTTAACATAGTAATTTAACCCTTGAACTAAATAACCTGTATTAGATTGATTACTTTGAAACACTTTCTCTCCTGTCACATTTTTATTATCACATGATTAACTTAAATCGAATCGTGATTTTATTCATACGAAATTATAAATTAAAGTAAATTGGGTAATGGTGAGTGTAATTGGCTTGAAAATTTCGAATGAAGGGATGTAATATGAACTGTGATTTAACACTGTTTTTACTGTTAACTAATTGTAAGCCTTATGTGCGGTGTAGATGAAAATAAGATTTTCTCATTTTGGATCTGGTTTCGTTCAACTCTCTGGAACTTCTCAAACGTTAATTGATTCAAAATTGTCACGGTCGACCGTTAGTATACTTTTCTTTAGTCAAAAATCTGTATTTTCTTCCACCACATTGCATTCTTTTGGTTTTACTGTTAATATTCCAATCAAAACATCAAAGTTACTTTGAGGGACAATATGAAGAGACTTTTATGCCTTGTATACAGTTTTAAATACATCAAATAGTATTCTTCCATGCTTAAGAGGTATAGCCTACCTCAACTTCAATCTCTCGTTTCTTTAACTATAAATGCGGAAGTATTGACCGTTCACTACTTGCGATCACTTGTCGTTTTCTTTAAATACAAATATTCCATAACCTATTAGCATGATAAATATAACAGTCGTTCGTATATTTGGTAAAAATGTGGATATCATATGGTTGTTATAAATAGGGTTGGTTAGAATTGTTAGCCAAGCATTCAGTATCGAAAATCTGTTGATCCAATGACCTTATTTTTAGCAGGAATCTTCATTTTCTTGAGCAGACCTCAAATGTTTGGTGTAGGTATTCAATAATATAATATTTTTTAACTTTTCTTCATTGGTTGAAAAACGTTAAATAAACGACATGGTAAGAATTAATTACTTCAGAACATTGGAATATTAATATATTTCTCTGATTTTATTTCGGATAATGCTAAATATACATCTTATGACTGATTCTCCTAATATCTCTTACCTGACTAAGAAAGTTTGAGATGACAGTCTCCAGTATCAATAGTTATAATTATTCCTTACATCATAAACATTTATTACTGATGAAAATAAATAAGTAATGAACCTAACACCTGTTTCTCATCTATTGTAGGAATGTGTAAAGGAAGAATTTATATTTCCACGCCTATTAAATGTTACGTAAAGCACAAAACTAATTGTTTTCTGTAGGGAATTTGTTTCCAGTTGATATAAGGGTGTTTTTCTTTCTTTTAAGAACAAAAACATTATTGTTCTTAGTCAATCTGACAGTGGTATAACTGTCTTGTTTTTTGATTTTACAAAATATGATAGTACTAGGCTCCTCATATAAAAGTTAAAAGTTTGTATTCAGGAGGAAACATTACAGTTTCTTTTATAGAAGCTTCGTTGGAGGAACGTTTGTTGTCGCTTGGGCATTTCATAGTTTGTGAAGTCTTGTTCACATTCCAAGATTCTTTGTATCTGGAAATCTAACTTTCACTGAAGACAAGATGATTTCCGGAGCTCATGTTTATGGATCTTCTGTCTCCAATGTAAAGATATGATCTTTTGAAGTTAACATTCTACTTTTTCTACAATAATATTTTTATGAACAATATGGTTTTTGTTTTGAAATACGTATTGAATTGTGACTTCTGATATTGTTTTGGTTACTGCTCTAGATTCTCTAACTCTTCCATCAGTCGTTATAAAGAAAACTGGCAGAAGGTCTTACATAAACAGCTATACCTAAATATTATTGAAGATGGATCATCAAGTGTACACAAAAAGAACTGATACAAAAAAGTTCTAAAGAACATGATTTATTCAGGTTAAAAACGGAGGAGTGAAGCATAATCCATGTTATCAATAAACTTAATATTCATTCAGCTGACGAAAGCATGTTGTAGGCCAAAGTGAGACGTTGTTAAAGAAACTGATCCGAGTATCACAACTGAATAGACTGACTCACTGGTCAACTGATCAGATCTGTTAATGACGTACAAAATATCCAATCAAAGTAATCACTTTAATTGAGATCATGAACTGATTATTAACCGCTTATCTAAGATCCCGAATGCGAGAATCGAACCCAAAAACTTCGGTTTCATGCACAAACGCTTAAACTCCAGACTACTGACATCCAATAGTGTTAGTGTCCAATTTCAATCAATAAACATTATAACACAACCATCTTCCATTGTCTTTTGTGTTTGACTGCCTCACACGCGACACGGTTGTACTCCACTTGTCACATCTCACTAGAACTCCGAAAATTACTTATCGATGTTAGTCACTAGTGAGCACATGATAATTATCAGTATAGGATCAAGGAGATTGTTGCGTTTTTATAGGGATCATGGACTGATACACACTACCGAAGAGTCTCGTACTGAGACGAAACGACCGCCCAGTGTTTCCAGGCTCTCAGTGGTGGTATGACATTAATCCGTTCGCAATCTGAATAAAATCTCATCAATCTCGACAACCATAAACTGGAAATAATCATTCTTTTAACAAAAAATCATTAATCAAAAATAAGTTACTTTTACACAAGTGTGTTGTTGTTTACTGAAAAGTAAGAGTTTCTTTAGCCGGTTGTTTTATCTTTGGAAATGTGTTTATTTGAACGGTTTTTTGTTAGTGATTTGATTTTCCTGAATATTGATCACTGAACCAATCATACTAATAGTTACACTGTTTAATCTGTAAAAAAATATCATTTGGAAACAATTTACAGGAATAAGGTGACAGTCTATTTCGAAGAAGGTAATTAATGGATTTATTATTTAAGTATCTTTGCATTTACAAACTAAGCTGATTTTAGAGATAAAATTAAGAGGCATCCTTTACAGGATAAGAAATGGTCGAAGATATAATAAACAATACTTAGTTGTGTTTAAAGTAATGATTGAACTGTTTCTTCTGTTTACTGACTTATCTAATCTGAAAAACAATATGTTTATCATCATGTAAATGAATGAATCATCTGTCAGGATCCAGACAAATTAATGAAACAAACCGTTCATTTATTCTTCTCAGTTGTTGAGAGATTGGTAGTGATAGTTGTGGCGCAGACATATCAATTACATACTTTTTCAAAAATGTATACTTTTACTGGTTTCCCACCCCTTTATTTTAGCCTTAACTGTAAACACTAGACATATAATAATTTATTAGAGGAGCCTATCGTTATTACTGTTTTTATAATCACAAGACAATATATAATGAGTATGTTTGTCTGTGTGTTTATGTGTGTATCATGTACATTAAGGCTGTTTGCAGTCAATATTACGATTGAAGTAGTGAGGAATGGCTCTGTACTAAAACAAATCATTCCTTGTCAATAGATGAAGGACTATATATATATCCATTGCTTCATGAAGCAGAAAACTCTATATCATCAATTAACAAGAAATAAACCATAGTGCAGTTGATGCAAAGGGATATAATTCTATATGGTAATTGTGTTAATTATGTTGTATTTTGTGTATATTTGTTTACATATATGTAGACCTGTAACATATTGATTTAGGCTTTTCATTAGATAGAAAGTTAATTACTTTACTACAAATATTTGAAAATTTATTCTTTGGAACATGGTACCGATCGTTATTATTATTAGTGGTAGTAGGTTAACACTATGACACACTAAAGTCGTTAGTTATTCTGTGGTAATATTAACAAGGAGAAATTGCTGCTCTTTTTATTATCAATTTTAACTGAAGAACTGAGTGACTATAGATCATCTTACTTGGATATTTTAAAGTATATATATATATATATTAAAACAAGAATGTACATTAAAGAGCTTGCAAACAGCCAATTTTATTCGAAAATGAACTCTTTTCTTTATAAATGAGCTGATTCTACATATCTAATGTAAATACGATTTGTGATCAGTAAGTGTTCATAACCTGTAGGGTGCTTAGAATGATTTGTACATTGATTAGCAACATTTCTGACAAAACATTTTAACGAAAAAAGAAACGAAAAACAAGATATATTACCTAATTACATATTTATTTACTAGGCTAGATCTTCCATATTTGACCCATTAAATAGAAATATAGGATTCTGGAATCCAATCTAAAAGCAAGTTATTAAATGCCAATTGAATATAATCAAAAGCTATTATTCTATTAATTTTGTCGTCAGAATGAATATCAAGAAAGCGTACTTATCTATAGTTCATTATTCTATTTATCGTATAAGAAATGAATGTATAGTATGATACATCTCATATATAAAACATTACGATCTAATCTACAATTCACACACACACAAAGAAAATAATAATTAGTTAATAAGAAAATTACATAAAAAATGATGTAATGAAACATTTAGTTTAAAAGAGAAAACCCATTTCTTATTAAGCAAGGTGTCGTTTATCATTACTTATTAGATTACCTACATTAAATAAAAGTACAATAAAAATATATTCCATATTCTTTGATTATTGTATAATTATAAATACCAAAAAGAAAAATAAAAAAATAAAGGAAATAAATGAAAAGAAATTTAGAAAGGTAAACTTAAATGAGCATAAAATGAATTAAAATAATTTTTTTTGTATTTTAATTTTATCAATTTCTCTGTTTAGATTGTTTTCTCTTTTAGAACAATTTCATGACAATTAATAGTTTTACAAATCTACCTAAAAATAATCACTATCATATTTGAAATATTTTATATAAATAATTCATTAGTTTAATTTGAGATCTTTTCATTATATAATAAAAAATATTTTAAGGTTTATTCTAGGCTTTTGATAATATTCATTAACATAGTTCCTTTTTATCATTTTGAATAAACATTCTAGCAGAATAGCATGAATTCATTTTTATTACGTTAGTTCTCGTCAGCTGCTTACAACCTGTGATATTTAAAAGCCTCAGAACAAAAGAAAGAAGGAAATTAAATAGTGCAATCACCAAACATTTCCTTGATACAGGACATCAGGTCGATACCCTACAATCGTTCAAGGTGATTAGTAAGCAGCCAAACTCCAGTCTTCTGAAGTTTGCTGAAGCACTTGCTATCAGACGCCAAAAGCTTGATTTATGTGTTCAAAAGGAGATGTTTATTAATCTTTCCTTGCCTTGGTGACTAATATTCATTCGGTGTATGTTAATTTTTTTTTCTTTTTTTTTAAACTCTTTCTTGCACTTACCACATCATTGAGTTTTATTCCGACTATCTTCCAAAAAAATTTTAATTCTATCAATGTTTACTTGTTTCTAGCCGTTTGAACTGTGGTCACAATGTTCTTTTATATAAGGTATATATTTACAATATTCAGTCTATTAAATAAATTTACGCCCTTGCTATACTATACGAATATGTCTTCAATATAACTTTCAATCAAACTCTTTCAAGTAAGTAATTTAAACCCATTATGTAACTATGATTTTCAATACCACAGGTTGTAAGCATCTGACGAGAACTAACGAAATAAAAATGAATTCATGCTATTGTGCTAGAATATTTGTTCTTGCTCTTTTCAAAATATTCATTAAGTTAAATCATAACAGGAGATCTTTATTTCTGGTTCTAAACAAGTTCAGTTTATTAGAAGGAGTTTTGTGGAGATTTTAGTAATTTCAATAGTTGAAATCATGAGTCAGTTGAAACTAGACCACCATGGAAAACCCACAATCACTGAACGGCTGTTTCGTCTTATCGTGGGATTCCTCAGCAATGTGCATCCACGATCCCGCCCTCCGCGAGATTCGAACCCAGGATCTATCAGTCTCGCACTCGAGCACTTAACTATTGAACCACTGAGCTGTTCGGCATCCAGCGGTGTTAATATCTAACTTTAACCAATCCATAGAACTGAGTGACACATTCACCATTTTCTTCAGTGAGATACTATCTCACGACAGAACTGGTTGAACTCTACTGGTCACTGATTTTCACTAGAACTCCAGGAAATGTCTCTTGAAGTTAATCCAGTGCTTCGAGCTTTTCCATGGTGGTCTAGCTTCAATTTACTCATGATTTGAACTATTGAAGTTCAGTTTAGTTATTAATTTACATATCAATATCTAGAATATGGTATGTATTTTCATTAACTAGATATCCGTTTATTGAATTATGAAAACTGTTATGGAGAGATTTTTTCATGTAGTCTGAAATAAAGAATGATTTAATCTATTCTATGCAAAATACTGAATTAGAGAAACGTTGAAATATTAGTCTTTCACGATTTGATAAGTGAATGTTTTCACATGTTATTAAATAGTTATCTGAAATAAATCGTTGAAATATATTTTATTTTTATAATTACTTAAGCATAATTATCTTTTGTTATATTATAGTTGTTGAGGAAGAGCACAGTGGAGGTTCCGACAACAGAGAAGGATACAAGCTCAGTTTTCATACTGGGTCTTATCCAACACAAATGTTTATTGAACTTCAAGAGTTGGTGCCAAGAGTGGATGGTGGATTACAGTTCAATGAATCTATCTTTAAAATGCCAGTTGCAGCTCATTTTCGAGTCCTTTGGTTAGAAACAGCAAGATGGGTGAATTTTGAGGAAAATTTTAATGAAGTGGAACAACGTTTTACAGAAGCTCATGTACCACCTATGAAGTTTTCTTGTATAAATAGCTTCAGGGATAAATTACAACAGAGTAAGAAATCAAATATCAACTTTTTTGCCATATTTTTTATTGTATGTTCCTCAATCACAGGAAAAACATTATCTAAAAAAATTAATACAAAAATTACATTTCATGAGTTCTGTGGAATATGAAACTTTTATTCCAAATCTGTTTATATCAAAGTCCTTAACTTTTTTTCCCTATGATAGAAGGTAATCGGTTAATAACAATATGTGATTATTACTGTTTATTCATATCATTTTTTTTAATCAAGATTTTCTTTTATTAAGTAGACAGAATATATTTAGATTAGTTCAATGAATAAAATAATATACTCGTTATACTCCGATGTGAGAAAATTTTCAAGTTATTCAGATAATACAAATACATTAATTTTAATAGCTGATATCATAAGTTAATTGAAGCTAGACCATCATGGAAAACCTCAAAGCACTGAACGGCCGTTTCGTTGTAGTATGAGACTCCTCAGCAGTACACATTTACGATCCCGCGAGATTTGAACTCAGGACCTATCAGCCTCGCGCTCGAACGCTTAACCAATAGACCACTGAGCCGGTATCATGATCTCAACTAACAAAATTACTATAATATCCACAAAATCCCTTCTGATATTAATCAACATATGCTCACTAGTGACGGTCTCCAAGAGGTATTTCCTGCAGTTCTAGTGAAAAGTAGTGACCAGTAGAGTTCAACCAGTTCTGTCGTGAGATAATATCTCACTGAAGAAAATGGTGAATGTGTCACTCGATTTCATGGATTGGTTGAAATTAGACACTAACACCGTTGGATGCTGACCAGCTCAGTGGTCTAATTGTTGAGCGCTCGCGTGCGAGACTTATAGGTTCTGGGTTCGAATCTCGCGGAGGGCGGGATCATGGATGCGCATTGCCGAGGAATCCCAAAATGGGACGAAACGGATTTCCAGTGCTTGCAAGTTTTCCATGGTGGTCTAGTTTCAATCCACATAACAGTTAATTTATCATTGGAATTATCAGAATAATTTTTTTTGGAATGATAATTATTTAGAACAAATATTTACTTTATTTTATTTAACCATTAAAGACATCTTAACTAATTACATCACTACAATAATATCTTTACATTAGGTTTTACTGTGTTTCATCCCATAGAATAAGTAAAAAATTTAGTAAGCTTATATGTTTTGTCATAATTACCACTCTTAGATTACTACTAATCATGCTCAATGGAAATAGTTGAATTTAGAAAAATATATATAGCTAAAGATCATTGAATTATGAGTACAGTTACTTTATGCGATAAGACTTCAAATGTTGTTTAGAAAAAAACAAAACAGAATTTCTTTTAACTGTCTTAACCAACTTACTAATTAGGTAGCGTTACTTATTAGAAAACTATCTATTTGTTTAGTTTTTCTTTTTTTTTAAAAAACGTAACCGTGATTTATACATCAAGTTTAAACAAATATCTGTAGAGGCTAATTTCTCTTATATCTGACTTCAATAAATAGTATCCTGTTAACTGAGTATTTAATGCAGGCTAAATCTCCTAGTAGAACCATAGATTTACTCGAGATTATTCAAAAGCCTGAACAACAGTTATAGAGATAGTTTATTGTTAAAGATTGGTAAAATCCGCAAGTGTACAGGAAGTAAGCACACAGGGAAACCAAGAGAGTGTGTGTGTGAGTGTTAATAATCCATATATATTTTTGAGTATTAATCAAGTATGGATAAATTGTTGATTATCTATGTATTACAACTAATCGGAGAATAGATTGAAAATTGATGTACAGAAATGTGCTCAATCATACTCACACAGAAATTTGCATAGTGGATTGTGTCTAAATTATAGTAAGCAGATAAATAACAGAGTAGTTGAATGGGCTTACTACATATTAATATATATGGTTGTTGTGAAGTAAACTGCTGATTTTAAACAGAATATTTTAACTGAACGTTTTGTCATCAATTACAGTCTAAATAATGTTATTTTATAAAATCCTTATAAATTTGCTAGATAACTATCGTCGACAAGTGCTACACTTACTTAGTTACGTCTGTTACTCCTCCTGAAGGGGCATAAGCCACTTACTAGCATTCTCCACTAGTACGTAATAATTGAACTATGATAGTGTCCTACAAAGTTTTTCACCATATATAGTAAAAGAAACTACTATAATAATTAGTTTTTTATTTTATATAAGTAGTATAGATTACAAATTTCTATTGTGAAAAGCATGAATTATGAATAGATTAACATTTATGGACAACTTGTTAAATAGGTTGAAATCGATGATTTAATTAATAAAAATTTAACTGTTGGTTTTCTCTATCTTTGGCACACAATATAATAAGCATTCAATTCATTTAACATTCTTTTAATCTTTTGATATATGAAATAGGTATTTATAGTTATATTTTATAAGAAATAGTCTTATTATTTAGTTAATCTACTATTATACAATATTTAATACTATTTCAACTAGGTTTTTATATACATCTAATAAATAATGTTTTGTTATTTTTGATATTGTATTTAAATCAACCTTGATTTTAAATTCACTTGGTGTTGTTTGACTTGTATCTTTCCATTGTTATTTAGGACTGCAATTGTTCAGTCTCTTATTGACATATGTGCATACTGTGCGTATTACCTTGATATTGCCCTAATTCACATGCATTATAAGAAAAGATAAATGATAGTTAGCAACGGAATCCAGTACTCGCGTTTCGTCCTATTTGACATTCGTTTGATGGATGTACCTGCATCCCAGAGTTGGTGTTCACTCAGGGACTCAAACCTAGTACCACTTGTATCAATCGCGGTTCTAAAGATCAATGGGAAGATTCAAGTAAACAATACGAAGTGAATTTAAACGTCATCTCATTGCAAAAGCAAGTAGTTATGAGGATTGAGTAGCTAAGTGGATAGCGCGATGGCGTCTTAAGCGAACGGTAGTGAGTTCGAGTCCCAGAGTAAACATCAACTCTGGGATGCAGGTACATCTAGCTGATGAGTCTCAAATAGGACGAAACACGTGTCATGGATTCCATTGCTAGCCACTATCCATCCTTGCTTAAAAAAACTTGATTTCAGTTAGCTTTTTTCTAATCCTTTCTTGATTTATTACTTCATACTATATGGTGATATATAAAAAGAACTTAGAAAAACATAGGTGATAAGTTTAATTTACTCGAAAAATATATTGTTCTTTTTGTTGGTGTTGTTGTTGTGGTGGTGGTTATTGCATAAGATAACGATCGATACGTATATATATTTTTTGGGTTGTATAATTGTTATCAATCATGGAGATTTGTTCATGTGAAAAAAACAACAAAAAAAAACAAACTACGTAACAATTATTTCAATGACAAAATAACACTAAATTTAATGTTTTCTATATTGTTTATAATAAGTAACATTTTATCATTCAAGTATCTTTGACATCTTGTGAATTATGATTATTTTAATTGATTTTTGACTCATTCCATTAAACATAGAAAAAAAAAAGACATTTTTAGAATAATATATTGTCAGATGACTCTCTTCTTTTCTTTTCTTTATTTTTCTTTTTCTTAAGTAGTCACTTGATAATGTTGATTTGATTTTGTTAAAAATAACAGAATGTTTGTACAAAGCACTGAATAAATATTATTAAGATTTGTTATTTTTTTTTTAATGTGAATAATTTATCAGAAATAAATAATTCATATCAATCAATAACAAACTGTTACTCTAGATGAATTTTGAGTTTCTTTAGAAAAAATAATTTGAGTAGTAGGAATATCTAGGTGTGAAAATTAATAGTATTTTTTGAGAGGATAATAACAATAGGATTTCTGTTCAATCCCAGTCTACTATTATGTGAATGTGAATTTCAATGCTTCTCTACTATTAAATAAAAATTAATAGGGAAGGTTATTAATAACATTGAATAATAGTAATAATAATATTCAATGTCTTTGATGAAATCATTGAAAATCTAATTCTTGAATTATGACTTGTTCACAGAAATTATATACTCATCTACTGACATTAGATGATAGTTTGAATGTATCGATAATTATTGTAAGTTGGAAATAAGGGTTAGTGCGTTCCAACTTGGTGGTTTTATTCTTCTATTAGACTGATGATGATTCCATTTTAACTAAAATTAAACATGTTTTTATCAAGATACCGTTTAACACTAACTTTTTTATGATGTTCTGATATCATGCTTTATCATTTGTAGGACTTGATACTACTGAAAATCAGAACCATATGTATGAATATATTTATCTTAGCAATATGGAGTTTTGTATTGCAAACTTTTATTAGGTAATTCATATTACGTGGTGGTTTCGTATTTATTTCAGTTTAAAAAAATGGCAGTGAAATAACAGCGGTCTCCTATGCAACTTTGTAATTCACATATGATAAACCCTTTCTTCTTCTCCTACTAAAATGACATGTTAACATGATATTCTATCTACACACATCGGATTGTAAAAATCTTCAGTGGGCAATATTTGTCAAGATTACTAAGATATACTGGATTTTCTTTACGTTTTATAGATTTTTATAGCTACGATCATCTGGATTTTGTTTAGTGGATTATTGTATTCAGTATTTGACAAAGTAGTGTAGTGATGATCATGAGGGATATTTTCGATGCATTGGTTGGCATTTCACTTCCATTTATTTGAACTAAGAGGAAATAACACTGAAATTTCTGATCTGGAAAACTAAAATATAATAAAATAACATTTTCAGACATTTGACTAAACATATTTATATTATGCTTTTAGTTATACAATGGATGAACAAAAACGTCATCGGTAGTGGTGGGACTATCAATTTATAGACTGACTTAGCTCCAATCTTTTGTAGAAATAACTAACTCCTTATTATAATATCTAATCGTTATCATGCACGTAAAAAACTCTTAAACGGTATTTAAATTAAAAAGATAATCTCAAATTCTTTGTATATTTCTTAAAGTAATCACTAGTAAGTAGCTTGGAGAGAACATTTCTGGAGTTCTAGTGAGAAGCCGTGATCAGTGGAGTACAACCGTGTGAAACAGTCACACACACACACACAAAACAATGGAAGATGGTCATGCAATATTGTGTATTGATTGAAATTAGACACTGACACCGTTGGATGTAAGTGGTCTAAAGGTTAAGCAATGGTGCGCGAGATCGAAGTGCATGTGTTCGATTCTCGCATTCGGGATTATAAATGAGCACTTCTGAAAGGTTCTATATTAGAATGAATCGACTATCCAGTACTCCCAAATTTTCAATGGTGGTCTAACATTGATTGGTGCATGATTCAAATGCGATAGATCATTAAAATTTCTAGAAATCACGTAAAAAAAGTATTATGTGTTCAATTCAATTGAAAAGCACTTTAATGATTACATTATAAACAAATCACATTCTTTATTTCAATGTACTAATTGATAAATGACCAATTTTATCGGTTGATTGTAAATTCAAATGAATTTTGTTGTTTATGTGAAATTTGACAAAAAAAAAATAAACCCTTTAGTAAAACTGATTACGATAATTTAACAGTTTATTTAGTTACTGGGGTCCCAGTAACAGTAGTTACTGATTTAAAATTTAATATTTATCTATTATTCCAAATAGATTCATTCAATGCTAACATTTATTTCCTAATCCACTGATTTTTATGGTCATACTATTGAATAAATTATCCTTCTGAAAACTTTATTTAATTCATATATAATTTAAACTATATTCGTTATAAATGCTATTATTTTATTGTATAGATCGTACTTGTTTAATTTATGATAGTTTTATGTATTAGGCCAATTGTGACATAAACTAACATGATTGTTGTATCATTAGTAGTTTGTTTAGTTCTAGTAAAACAAAAACAAATTTCTCTCTTTCCCTCCCTCCCTCCCTCCCTCTCTCTCTCTCTCCATATATATATATATATATATATATATATATATATATATATATATATATATATACATCGAAGGTCATGATGATGTAAATTAAAAGAAAATAATTTATACACTTTTTTTTAATCGTTCCACTTGGTTATTTATGCTCAATGCTCTTTTTTTTAAAAAAAAGATGAATAGTTGATGAGGTGGAACGTTATCATAGATAAATAGATATTAAAGTGTATAAATTTATTATTATGTCATCATCATCATCATTCATTCATTCATCTATTACAATCAGTTTCCATGTAATCAGTTTTAGATTAATAGTTTGTTCATGTTGATTTATGCAATTGTAAGTTTATTAAGGACAGTTTCATTCCATTGGAATATTAATATGATTTCATTCGCTTTATAGATATTTATCTTTAATTTATAAATTAGCAATAAAACAAGAGATATTAATTCAATCAAAATATTCATGTTTAGTCATATGGTTTTCTTGTGAAGCCAAATAAAATAATTTACTTCACTGAACTAAATGAGATGGGATGGGTTTTTAGACTTGATCATTGAAATTTAAGAGTTTTAATCATTGAATCATGAATTATATTAGAAGCTAGTTGTATACAGTTTTCATTTGATAGATAATAAAATGTGGTGCTAGGCTAAACTAAATTTTTATCACATAATTTTATTTAAAAAGATGACAAAAAAATATTGAGTAAGTGCTAGTAAAATTTGAGACTCAACTTTCGCTTTGTCTACGATTCGTCAGATGAATGAAATATTGATCTATCTTTGATGTTAACAATGGTAAATTAACTCCATACCTATCGTTCAAAACTTTAAAGGGGTATTCATTGGCTTATTGAGTGAAAAGAGCCTGTAGTTTATTCAATGACTTCGTATACATGAGCTTCTTAATCTTATTAATGGAAACAGATCTTATACTGTTTATGAAGCAATTAAAAAAATCTCATTCTTGTTGAGATTTTATTGTTTTTAATCCAAAAATTCAATGGTATTCCATAATTGCAAAAGTAAGATGAATGTTCAAAGTAAATGTTCTAAGGAGAAACTTACTAAATCGTCTTGTTGTTCAAAAAACGAATTCGGCTTGGAAAATGTTGAAATATTGAAAAGTGGTGACACGAAGAAGACTTGCAAATTCCTGGAAAATTTGTATTCAATTTATTCAAGGGTTATTACACCTAATCTACCGAGCAATCACAAAAATTATTAACAGCCATAAGGTTATGAATCGAGTCAGTGAGCAGGATAGTCACTGTTAATATGAAGCCAATAATAACACAATTGTTGTTAAAGAAAACTCTGTTCAACTGAATATCAATTGAACCAGTCCTGAAAAAAATCCTAAAGGCCACTTCCAATTGATTCCGAGCTATTCTCTGTACTCCGTGTTTCCCCTCAGTTATCGCGGTTTTCATGATCTAGTCAATACGAGATGAGAGAAAAATAGGAAGAGTAAGCAGCTTTGTCTGACTTCAGTCGTCACTTACTAATGTGTCTATCAGCTGTCCTCCATGCACCACTTTGTATTTTGTATAGGGTATTTTTTATTACGAATTGATTTTAATTACTTTGCCATTTAAAATCAGAATTCTTTGGTGCATAAATGTCATATGTTCCTTTTTATTTTACAAACTACTTATCCATATGTTCTTAGATGAATTAATGGTTAATATTATTCATAAACATAATTAAAATCCCGTAATTAAATCTGATCATTTATGTCTGTTTCTCATGTAATAGAGGACAAAATCTAACAAAGAAAAAATACATCATCTAATAAAGATGTAAACAAAAATAAAGAAAAACGAAAACAATCTTTCTTGATCTATGTCGCAATTGTTCTCTTTACATTTGTTGAATATTTCGGGTCTTTTTTTTTTAGAAAAAACTGTTGGTTGATGTTTAATGAGCATGAAAATGTAATTAAAACAAATTTTCTATGTGAAAATAATATCGATATTATTAGAATTATTGTGAAAGTACTTTTCACACATGTATATACCATTATATTTGTGAAATTGAAAATTTATATTAGACTATTCCTATTTAAATTATTTTGAAATGAACGAATTCCTAGATCACATTGATGGATAGTTTATTTTTACTGAACTGATACGAAATCTTTTCAAATTCTAGACTTTAGTATAAGATGTAAACATTTTTACCCTCTGTTAAAATCATATGAAAATGTATTGTTGAGGTTTGTGTAAATGTCATTTTTATTAGTGTTAATTTTCTTGTAACCTCTCTTATCTTTCTATGTTTCGTTAATATGAAAGTTTTCAATTTAGTATGTAACGATTTGTAAATTCTTGTTCACAATTTGTTATCTATACAACCCTGTGAAATCTTTCTTAGAAATTTTGAAAAAATACTCTGTGTTGCGTAGAGCGCTATTGGTAACTAGTAGTAAGCAGTGAGTATTTTTAGATCACAATACATGTGGTCAGGAATAGACATTTAAAATTCTTGGAAAAAAACTGAGGATTCTTATTTTGTCGAACATAAATGAACAACTTTGTTCACATCTTCCTTCTTATTTAACTCCCGGCAGAACAAGAGGGAGATTCATTAAAACTAATGCACTGGAAAAATCACAAATGTTCCACAAACATTCTTGCACTTGGGACTATAAGACATTATTTTAAAATGTATCATCATCTTTTGAAGATTCCATTTGATATATATATATATATATATATATATATATATATATATATATATAGTGACGTGTACAAAAATGAATATATCTAAATATCAAGTCCTCAAAATTGTATATTGTATTAAGCAGATAATAATGTGATTGTTATTAGTATTATTATTGTTATCTAATAAAAGTTAATTTATCATGATCATAATTTTATATATTTGGATCGTATGATCAATTTATTTTAACAAGGGACAATATCAGTTGAAATTGATAAAACGGTTGTCGATGGCACAGATTATCTTTATTAAAGCTTAGCTTCCTTAAGAATATCATAAATTGCTCATTAAATTTTTAGAAATAAAATGAGTGCATTCATACTTGTGTTAGTTAACATATAGGAATAACTAAAATAAATACCATTAGCAACAGCCTTTTGCGGTAGAGAACAAGCCACCTTCTAGCTCAAGAGGAAGTTCAGAAATTACATAAATTGCGGAAATTATCAATCTGTATCAAAAGGCAAGCACCAACTTGGAATTCTGAAAAGAAAAGAGGAAGGACAAGGAACACGTTGCATCGGTAATTGGCAGCAGACATACAAAGGAATAACAACTGAAAACATCTGGAAAAGATAGCAAAAGATAGAGTTTGATTAACAATCCTTATGTGCAGCCTATGCTCCTCCAGGAGGGGTAACAGGCGTAAGTAAAATAAATAGTCATCTTAACCGATTATTCTAAATGTATGGATATTTTTGTGGGCAGGTTGTATATTGTTGTTAGCAAGTTCATTTAAAATTTACACTACTTCATTTTTTTCTCTTAATTTTCACTTAAAATAGATTTGAAAATTATACAAACTGATGCACTTACACTTGGTCAAGCCCTTGATGAAGTGGCAAAATATGCTTTATCACAAAGCTGTATTCAAGGAAATGAACAATATGATGTTTTACGTGCTATTTTGTTTGCTGAACGTTGGCATCCAGAAGTTAAAGGTCATATATCTGATGCAGCTGAATTCGATCAGTATTGGGCAGGTAATTAAAAAGCACTCTTTTCGTTTTCTTTGATTCAATGTTTTGTAAACATCAGATGTGACCAAAGAAACATTTATATTTAAAAACGTTTATACTAAAGATCATAAGCAGCTTTAAAGCATAATATATTATCCCAAAGATTTTTAAAATTATAATTGCATTTAAGTTTTTCTTAAACGATATCATTATGAATGAAAATAAACTGACGAGTGTTACGTAACAGTTTGTTCGTAGTGATGAAACGTTGAAGAATATATCTTAAATTAAAAATGAGAAAAAGATAGCTTAGTTTTATATTAAACTAAGTAGAGTTGTACTGTAATATTTTTCTTCAGATAATAAGTTAGATTTTGCATTGAAATCAGTGTTCAAAGGACCAAATCACTTATAATTGACAGATTAATTGATAATTTTCTCAGCTGTTTGATTCTTCTTTTATCAAAGGGAAAAACGAATATAATATAGATTTCTTCATTAATTTGATTATTGTTAATCGTTTACTCGAAAGATCCGTTGAAACTTAGAATCTTCAACTATTATGATAGTTAAAATGTGTATTTTAGATTATATACTAAACCTTTCAGGAATCTGTTCAAAATGTGTCATCAATCGATGAATTCATTAACTTTTAACTTGTGAAGAGTGAGACAAGGTGAAGAATTCTTGGTTTAGGTTTGCATAATAATTGTTCAAAACTGTTAAAGGGTTTTAAGTAATCAGATTGTAATTTTTATCAACGAGGTTAATGAATTTATTCTTTCAAGCTGATATAACCTTATTTTATATCCTGGAATATAACACATTTTAACAATCAACTAAATAAGTTGCTACTCATGAGGGACGGTAATTAGTAGGGTAATCGATCAATTAATATTACTTTTTTAAGAAGTGGTTACTGGATTTTATTAATATTCAGAAATCAAAAAGTAACATAAATTAACGAAAAGCCCATGCTATGAAGAAACTATTTAAATTTGAAATGGATTTATGCTATGTCATAGACGTAAACTTAGTTGATAGTTTTATATATATATATATATATATATATATATATATATATATATATATATATATATATATGATAGGTAGTTTTATTGTCATGATATGATGACAGATGTAAAGGCAAGTGAAAAATACAAAAACTCATGATCTATTAAAACAAATAAAACCTAAAGATTATGTTGAACGACTTTGTAAGCAAAGTTTCGCTTTTTGAACATTGATTTCAGTTTACTATTAACTTATATATGTACATATGAAGTATTAAGAGATTGTTTTTTTACGTTTAAGGAACTTTACCGGAAGGTATCAATCCTGTAAGTTACATTACACAAGTAATGTTTCTGTAATGTTTATTTAAAAGTATTTCTAGTGAGCATTTAATAATGGTATCAACATTACTATCATTATAATCATTGTATTGTTATATGTACTTTGTAAAACTAAATGGTATCATATTTTGTTCAGTTTATTTTAATTCAAATATACTATATCTTGATAGATTAGTTTACTCAATCAGAAAATTCTGTGAATAAATTTTGTTCGAAATCATAATGAAAGGTTTAATAGTAATTCTTGTTTAGTGAATTACATGACTTATGTATAGTTTTATCTCAAGAGCTGGTAACACTTTGAGAAACAATAAATACTGCAAACAGATGAATAATTGTTACATTATGATATGATATGTGCACCTAAAAATCCACGGAGAGTTCAATCTAACAAAGTCATATTTCACATTATCTTTCAAACTATTAACTTGACATCAAATGTGTTTTTATCCTTAGCTTCGTTTATTTAACATCGATTGTTTATCTAAATTTATTTAGTAATGTAAAACCACCCTAATCAACTATGATAATTTTTTTTTTAAGTTTATAGTTAACTGTTACATTGACTAAATGAAAAGTTATAAGTTTCAGAAAATGAAAAGCTTCTTTGGTTTCATGGTATTACCTTAAAAGAAAAAAAAAGATATGTAAAATATTTTCTTTTATTTATCACATATATGACTGTTTTCATAAAACTAGGCTTATGAAAATGACGAAGGAAAATGGACTTTTAAAAACTTTCAAAGTAAATTGGTAAGTAAAAGACAAGCAGACAAGAAAACACACAAAAACAAAACAGGATGACAAAATTATAAAAATGCATATGACTGATAATATACACATTGCTTATAATTAATTACAGCACTAATTCTCTATATTACAAGAACTGCTTTATCCTACACTACTCCATGTATGTACTATTGTTTTTTTTAATCCATTACGGTTTTTATAAATTCACATTTTTTTTTCTATAAGTAACCTTAGAATCATGTTTATTCAAATGCTTGCTTTGTATTTAATTTTGATAAATATGATTGAGCAGAAGAAAAGAAAATTCCGCTTTCTTTACTTTTTTGTTTAATAAAACTACCATTGTTTTATGTATGATTTAAACAAATAATCAAGATTGCTAACAAAATGCTTCTCGCTTCATGTTATTTGTATAGGTTTCTTTATGCTTAGCTTACTGCTTGATAAATTTTTTTTCTATTATTTTTTTGATAGTTTGGTCTCGTCTTATGTTACTTTTTTCTGAAGGTATTTAGTATGAAACGAAATCAACATACTTCAGATTATTTGTGACTGGCAAAATGTTTCAAAATGTTATAATTGGTAGATAAAATAATTTATAGTAGAAAGTGTAAAGCGTACTGAAGTCACCTGACGGTTAAAGTTTTCGGAAATCCCACGAATGTATTCCTGACAATTTCTTAATAAGTATATGAAAGCTATTTTAAAATCTCCATAACTTGTTATAATTGATTAAAAGGTCAGTATGATTGCTCAGGATCTGAATTTGTTAGAATTCAACATTGTGAATGTTTTCAATGGTATTTAACGAAATTTGTTCTACCAAATTAAAATAGTTACTTGGATTAATTCTTAGAATGCTTACGTAGATTTGAGATGGCAAACTCACGAATATATAATGAATATTTTGACACAGTCACACTAAAGAATAATTTTTATATTTCTGAATGATATATTTTACTGATCGTTGGTTTTAAACATCATTTATAAGTGACATTGTATGTTATAACGCTGATAATTTTCTTTAGAATAAAATATAAATTACATTCACTTGGTATTATTTACTTGAATCTTCCCATTGATGTTTAGGACTGAAATTGATCAGTCTTTTATTGGCACATGTGCATACTGTGCCTATTGCCACGATATTATCTTAATTCACAAAGATTATAAGCAAAAATGGATAGTGACTAGCAGTGGAATCCAGGAAGCGCGTTTCGTCTTATTTGGGACTCGTCAACTGGATATACCTGCATCCCAGAGTTGTTCACTCTGCTATTTGAACCCGGTATCGTTCGCCTCAATCGCAGTCCCAAAAGTCAATGAGGAGATTCAATAACACGTGAATTTACACTTCACCCCATTGCACAAGCAAGTGGCTATCAGGACTGAGTAGTTAAGTGAATAACGCGATGGCGTTTGAAGCGGACGGTACTGAATTCGAACCTCAGAGTGAACATCAACTCTGAGATGCAGGTACAAACAGCTGACGAGTCCTAAATAGGACGAAACGCGCGTCATGGATTCCACTACTAGCCATTATCCATCTTTGCTTTAAATATAAATAGGGTTTTTCAAATTATCTAACTTCAATTTTTGACTTAAGCAAGTAACTGTTATTAATATTCTTGCTTATAAAGTCTTTTATACACCTGTTATTAAAGTTGTTCTTTCTGATTGTATAGATATTATTCTAAATATACAGATTTTGAGATTATTTCACACTTGAATTAAGTGTTCTTTTTATATCACTGAAAAATTGAGCATAGAACCAATTTTTTTCCCTAAATCTTGGTTGTTTCAAAGTTAGAGTAGTATTTTTGACCTATGTAGTTAGATAATCATTTCACTGCGTTGGGTGATTTGAACAATCTTTAGTAAAATCAATTAATATTTTTTGTTGTTGTTGTTGCTGATAACTTCTAATGATTACAATTATATTAATGAATAAAGAATGTAATTTATTTTAGTTGTTCAGGTAGTTATGCATGTGACTAAACTGTAAATAACGAAATTTTACAGAATATTTACAATCATTAATGGTTGTAACAGCTCCTTATAATTTATTAAAGATGTTTTGCACGAGTTTTTAGTAGTATCATTAAGATTGTGGGTTAGCAGTAATTTTCAAGCTAAATCTATAGAATTTTTTTCTCCGTATTGTCATTTACTTTAGTAGTAAAACTGTATTTTACACAGAATGATCTATGTTAAGATAGAAAACGTTAGGGTTATTGATAAATATACCAAAATGTAACCGAAATGTTCGGGTATCGAATGATGTTATTTAATTTTCAAAAGAAACCATGAATGAAAATATGATGTAGAAGACAGATGTCAAAAGGGATTCTTTGCTTTAGTATAAAGCAGATCGAGGAATAGATGAAAATATGCTCAGAATGACTTTATGATAGAAAGCTAATGCTAGGATTGTGAATAAATAAGGAATTCGACAAACAATTTTTGAACTCCTATAATCTCTACTATACATTTATTTCCTATACAACATTTTTTAAACCAATTCGTTTAACTTTGTCAATACTTTAGGATAAAGATTCTAGTGAAAATAAATTACCAAAATTGACTAGTTGTTTCATAATAGAACTATTCTTCGATTTACATTTACCTATAGATGACCATGTTTGATAACATTTGTATATTTATTTCAAAAAACCAAGATATACATAGACAATATATTTTGACTGTATCGTTTACGACGTACATTTATCCACATTTTAAATATTTTGATTACTTCACGTATCTTTGTTAACGACCCAACAATTTTCTTTCATAGTATGGACTATTATACATAAAATAACGATTTTTTGCCTTTCGAAAGTAACATCGACGAAAATAAAGCTTCCTTTAGTTAGTCTTTATTGTATCTTCTACAAACAATGTCAAAATGGTTCAGAGAAAAAATATTCATGTTTACAATGTTTGAATTTCTTGTTTAATATTATTTCTACATTTTTTTCGTATACAGGAATCCGCTCGATCATCCATTTCTTCATTAACATTTGAAGTTAAGGTTTGTTCAGCTTCTCTTTTAGAAATCGAATAAAGGAAATTTAAAAAAAATAAAAGAATCCAATCTATTGTCTAATTCATTCATTTCGTTTTTCACAAATAGTTTTACTATTTCAATTGATTGATGTTTTGTCTTTCTGAAATGATCCAATTGATGATATTCTTCAATAGTTCTGCTTATTCAATTCATACTATTTCAGATTCAATCTAAACTCAACCATTATTTTTATAATTATTTTTTGGTTGTTGGAAATTCACCCATTGATTCATACACATTCATTATTAGTGCACTTCAATAATCTGATTGGTCTGATTTGCTTGAGTACTTGAATTCAATTTGACTGCAATTATGTATATTCTTAAATAATTGTATTAAAGAACTAGTAGATAAACGCTTATCTTTTAATATTTGTTTAGTTTCGGTATTATTAAAGAGATCTTTACAAATTCAAATTATCAAATTAAGTATAGGTTCAGATATAGCTAAGAAAAGATTCAATTTTTTTGTTCTTTTCTAGAATAAATTTCCCTTTCAAAGTTAAAAAATTTACTATTCCGCACTCATATGATTTATATTTCATCTTCATAATCATGATGTCTTTGTGATTTTTGACACGCCTTGCAGTTGTAGCTTTTTGTGCACTCACTTAAGAAGTTTGGGTTATTATTCTTGCTTTTGTTTACAACGAATGGATTCTAGACTCGAATCCCAAAAAAAAAGTATTTTGAAATTGGTAAACAGTTAGCATAACCAACCATTCGAAAATGATTTATGACTCTAAGATCTTTTTTAAACGTGTACTAAATTAAAACTTGTCATAATCTGTTAAGTCATTGTGTATTACACTGAGCCATGTTTGCAGGTCCAGACTTCCTGGTCAAAGCCTGAGCAATTCTCACAACCTATGGTTGAAGGCTTGAATAGACATGATATAGAATAGATCCTAGTAGTTTATATAATTTCGCTTTAAGTCTTCCGTCGGATCGTCAGATTTTAAGAATTATATTGACCATTTTACTCCACATATTCATTCTTTCTTCTCGAATCATATTGCCTGTGCCCAACATTTTTGGCTCCCACTGATGCTCTTACTACCTCTTCTACTCTGGCATTTGTTTTGGTAACTTCACCACACTGTATTGTGATAGTGTAGGAACTTGGGAACATGAAATATACGTCCCATGTTTTACGCTGTGTATGGCTGACTTGCTAGGTAAATGAATTGTCACAGACAACTATTTGTAACAAACTACGTTTTCTCGTGATAATGATATTTAATACTACTTTTACTTAAATAACAAGTTGCATTTGTATGACAAAAATGACATATTCCTCCCGGTTTAACAATGTCGCGATGTATCAGTGTTGAGTCATAATCTTTCACACTGTTTGACAAAATTCGTTCCCAATATTCATTGTATGTTACCGTCACTATAACGTTTTGGTTTGTCTTGACATATCTAGGTGTTATTCGCCAATGTGATTCAAAAATATCTAAGAGAAATAAAGACTTGTTTTTTTCTGTTGCCAAGACTGTTATTTAGCTTAATGAACATAATAATCGTTTCATTTAATAATAATTGTTTTTGAAAGTTTTATATTCTTTATGTTAATTGATTCAATTGGGAAGGCATTGGTTGTCTTTCTAGATGGCAAAAAATAGATTTGACATAGCTGGAAATCACTAGCAAACTATATATAAGCATTATTATCTGTATTTTTTTTATGTTTTGGACTACCTACAAAGTTCTAGGTTATGTGTTACTAACTTAAGTATTCTCTCCAAAGTTTTAAACGGATTAACCATTGTTGTTTGTTAACAGCTTAAGCCATTACTTTCTAAAATCAATAATGTCCTCATACATTTTATTATTACCAGAAAATCACGTGTGCACCTAAATGTTAAACACTTTTTTCTCTCAACATGTTGTACACAACAACAAAGCATAATATTTGAAAATATTATGTTCAATATTTATTCAGTTATCATTATTTTAAATTACTCTCACTGCCCCGTGACTTGAAATTCATTATTTCTATATGTCTTTGATTCTTCTTGAATTAATAGTTTCGATGTAAAAAAAAAAAATAAATAAAGCAATAATGTATTATCACACTTACTTGCAGAACATAGAAGGTTCAAGTTCAAACTACCTTGACCAAAATAACGTTTCACCTTACAGCTTAAGCAAAATACATGATTAACCTACGAAACAATTTTTATTGTTCTTAATTTTAAGCTTGATACTGATTTGGATAACCAAATTTATTAGTATACTTGATCTTGTTTTAGAAATTACATTTTAGCAAAATGTTAAAATTTGATACTATGATCTTCATTTTTTTGGAACGATACTGTGAGAAAGTTGCTTATCATTTTTTTCTGCACCATCTTAACTCAACTAATAAGTGCAAGTTGTTTTATCTTCATGCATAAGGTACACACACAACAAATTTAGACGCATGTTGACAAATTAAGTGTTAAACAGAATATACCTATTGAAACAAAATAAGAAAGATTGGTACAGTGAAGAGTTCTCTTTTCGGTGAATTTACTGAAAACTAAGTGTTGTTAATATCAATCATTTGATAAAAGAGGACTTTTAGTACCTCATTCTGAAATATTAACAGACATAAAATATAATTTTCCGCATTAAAAATTCATTTAATCAACTTCCTTACAAAGAACTATTATGGGGATAGCTTAAGGTACATACCATACTGATTCTGACTTCATGTAGAATAATCTTGTCTACTACACTAATATCAACCTTCACGAGATACCCAAGTATATAAATTTCCTATTATTTACAAATTTGAAAATAATAAATCATTAAACTTAGAGATGATTAGTAAGCTTTAATTTAAGACATCACATTTCACAGATTAGATCGACAGTTATGACTTTGACATAGGGGTCTTAGATTTATTTGTAAATTTCACTAATCGCTAAACTTAAACTATATATCAAACTGTGACTAATGGAATCCCTATAGATTTAGTTGGATTTGTCCTGCTTACCACAGTCATATTTCTGTGAATTATTTTAGAATCTGCTTTGTAAATAGCAGAAATTTATTACATGATTCCAAATCCACTACTTTTGAAATTTTCTCTTTGGGTTGATCTATATTTCTGTAAATATTCTAGATTGATCATTATAGTTATAGCAACTTTCATATTTGATTAAGAGGTAGGGAGATATAGTTGAAAAAATCAGTAAGTTATCTAATCTGTCCGTGACACATTATTGATTCTTATTTAATTTTAAGAGAATTATTACTTATTTCTATTGTTAAATGCTTGATTAACATATTAAGATTATAGGTAAAAATGTCTCGTATTGTTTTCATGTTAGAATTAATATAAGTGAGGCATCTATTTCAAGTGATTATAAATACTTATCCGTGTAAACAGAAAGTAAACCTTTTTAAACAATTTATTATAAACTGTCAATGGTTAATATAACCCGAATGAACTTATTCTCTTTGTTACTCATGTGTTGTAATTAAACAGTACACTTCTTTTTACACAATCTAGAAACCAGCCTTTTTACAAAGAGCATCTGTGGCAGCGATCGGAGCTAAGGTGGGTTATAGTTTCATTTTATTGACAAAAATATTCTAAGTTGAGGTGAAGACATGTGTTACTGTTATTTTTCGATTTATTTGTCTATTTTTTTCTAACATGACCATTTCTATGATATTCTTTATGTATCGTTTTACAACTATCTTGAAGTAATTAGAGACACTTTATTCAATTAATGTTCTCAAAATCGATACATCATTCCGGTATATCAGTGTAATATTTCTAGTAGGAACGAATTAACTAATCAGTACTACTAGGAATAATCTCTAAAGGGTTAAATTAGTTAGCATGTCGTCATGCAAAAGTAGGTTACGTTGTTTCTAAGGTCGAATTTCAATTATTTTTAACATCCTGTTTTCTACTGCCTATTGCTGCTATATTATTCATTTAGAGGAGATAGTTTCTTGAAAATATCTCAATTTTCACATATAAATGGAGCCCAATTATAATATTTATATTATTTCAGATAAATCAGGCTAACATATTCGTATGTTAGTGAATTACTGTAGTATAAAAGATTTTCATGTTATCAACTGTCGATACGCTTTCTTTTTTATCATTGAGATCTATCAAGAAAATAATCCTGAAAATATTATAATACTAGTCAAAGGTTATAGCAAAAACTCAGATACTCTCTTCTCATAGTTCATAGAGTTACAAGTTAAAGAATTTCAGTAGTAATGAAATAATACCATTATTGCGTATAAATCTCGTTAATTATTTAAACATCATTTGGAGTGTTAATTTTAATGCCATGTATAAATTTATATTCACTTTGAACTAGCAATAAATCCGTGTACTATTTTACCACAGTTATATTGCATGTCCAAGGACTTGTTTCCTTCTATCTAGGATACCAATATCATCATAATAAGCATATATCAGGTTGATATTAACTAAAATCTTGAAAAATAAAATAAAAACACTATTCAGTTACATAGAAAACAATATACACCCAATTATTATACAAGATTAAATATAAAGCTAAATCTATTTTCCATTATCTTAATTCTATGTTATCTTCAAAATGAATAATCAACTATTAATTGCTTATTTTCATTGATTTCTTCTCATAATCATCAAATCACCTTCTTTATTCTATAGAAGCATATTTCTATGACAAGAGCATCTGTTTCAACGAATGATTTTAAACCAAAGGTGGGTATTTAGTGTATTATGTACAAGTCTAATGCTAACAATTGCTAAAAATATGGCAGTTTTTTTCTTTGAAGAAAAAAGTCTATGTCTATGCAATGTGATTTAACTATTCATAATTTTACAACTAATTAGTGATTACATGATCATGTTTACGATTGAAAAGTAGTTATAGTTTTGGTATCGAATTATTATGTGTCATCAGTATAAGGGTTGTGAAGATTATTAGGTTTTTGATTGAGATCATGAATTGATTGGTGTTAGACTACCATTGGAAACCTGGAAGCACCGAACAGCCGTTTCGTTCTATTGTGGGACTTCTCAGCAGTGCACGTCCACCATCCCGCTCGCGGGATTCGGACCCAGGGCCTTCAGTCTTGCGCGCAAAAGCTTAACCTACTGGACCACGGAGTCAGTAAAATGATTGATGCTATTGTGTAATATAGTTAAATAAATGCTATATGAATAACGATTTATAAAATATAAGATAACGCACGTTTAAAAGTGTGCACGAGAGCGTACCCTCTGATGAGTATACTATAAATTATTGAAGTTCTACAAAGATTTTAAATAATATTAATTTCATCTAAGCTGGACTTCAGACGTCTACTTGTAGATGATGACATCAATATATGAGATAGAAGACCATTATAGTTCAACTTACTAGTTTATAGCGAATGAGTTCATGACAAAACTTGGTGATCATGTAATCAGTACCGTATGAATATACTATGATGAAAAATTGTGAGCATTTAATATCTCTTTAGTGCTCTACAATGTTGTAATTGTCCTTCAGTCAATATCAACTTGTGACTATACTAAACTTCAAAATGTACCAATATTGATACATCACCATCCAATAAAAAAAAACGAGACATTTAATTCTTTTGGATTGATCATCATGTATATGATACAAGATTAAATAAATTGATGAACTGATTTTAGTCAGTATACTTAAATTTATCTGCTTTTTATAAAAAAAAAATTGGCGCTATTACTGTCTGTTGGTTTAAATAACAGTTTATCTATATTTTAGACAAATCAATCAATATGAACAACATGTTATCAAAGAAACATAGTGTATATCAAACAACATATCTGTTAATCTATTAAAAATATTAATTAAAATGTATAGAAATGATTATTTAAATGTATAGATAATTAGTTAGAGATGACTGAATTCAAAATAATTACTTTCAGTTATAATTTATTAAATCTATTGTAACAAATGTTGTCCTGTATTAAGAAAAAACACATTGGTCTTTCCTAATAACTATTACATTCCATTCTTTTTTAATATTAGGCAGTTTTAATATTGTTTTATACTTCTAAACCTAGTTTATTATACAATATGTTTTTGATGTATAGTTGCTTGATTGACAACCATATACTTGCTAGTCATTAAAATTGTATAAGAATTAATAAACACTCTAGATTTATCGATTTATAATTATACAAAATAATTTAATCATTATACTATGTTACTCAATGATAGATATTTGTATGTGTTCGCTGCTTCTAGACAATAGTGAGTTACTTTGGATTAGGATAGTTGACATTAGTGAACAGAATTGTCTTGCAAGCAAGTATCATACACCACATAGATCTAGATATATGGTTTCCTGGTTAGCATAAGCTAAGGTGTGTTGTCATGTCAATTCATTAAGACTTGTGTGCACACTACAAATTTACCAATGGAATTCAATCAGCACTGCAGATTAGATAATACGGTGTACTTTAATTGACAAAAAACCAGTGAATCAATCTTTGTTAACTATTATGTCATAACATACTTTTTAAGTTAGTCCAGTTTGATGATGATGATAATAATAATAATAACATTTATTTCATCTGCACTTTATTTTATTATAACTGTATCTTAATTAGCCGAGGATTTAATTTATTTTATAGTTTTTTACCCATTTCTAAATTTAACTTAAGAGCAATTAACGTAGAAGAATAAGATGAATTCATTATACTTCGCGGTTTCTCATCAGCTACTTGAATTCAAAGCATAATAGTATTAGTCAGTAAAAATACATCTTACATAACCTATATTAATATATCGTAAAAGTCCTAATCAGTGAAAGTTTACGAGAAGAGCAATTCGTGGGATAAAACTACAAGAGATATTGCTATATCATATGAATATTTGTATGTTGAATATAAGAACACTTTAGAATCAAAAGCAAGGAATATATAAACGGGATTATTTAATAATCAATGTCACAAAAAGAGGAATTTATGAATGCCTTCATCACAAGAAATCAAAACCGATAATTAAATCTTTTAGAATGCATAAATTCGGTTTAAATATTTCTTCAGAGAACTGTAGTAAATTCGATGTTCTCTGTTTACTAATTATCTTAAGGGACTTTGAGATACCAACATTATAACCACTGTAAAACAGATTGCTTGTGATATCACTACTGAAAACGTACTGAACTGTTAGTTTAATCTTCTGCGTAGTGTGGCCAGAAATGTGAATACTAATCCTACTTTCTGTTCTTCCAATATATATGGTTGACACATACATATAAACTGGTACGTACAACTGGAGGTAATATAAGGCGCGTATTTATCTACATATGACTGCCTTAATAAAAACTTCGTTTCATACAGAGGGATCAACTTGGAACATGAATGCATCCATTTTATTACGGCCTTTAATCTGAAATCAATCATTCCATCTACTTTATCGCCCTTGAAACCAAGTCTTAGAAAAACAGAGTTCTTCTGAACCATAGAATACTCCATTTCTTTCGCTTTTGTCTTCTTATGCTTATTAACCATTATTATATAAATATCTTTCAGCTACGGTTAATTGCCCATCAATTTCATATTCTGAAACAAATCTTCTGACTAAATTGAAAAACATTCTAACAAAGATTCAGTTGTAGCTTATTCGACAGGAGCTGTTGAAGCTTAAGAACAATGCAATTCATTTATCCTTTTGATATATATATTTCTATAACCAATCATGCCTAATTCCAAAGTCTAGAGAATAAAACACATTGTTATATTATATTCCATCGTAAATATAATTTGCGTTTTTGGAGTAAAAAGGGGTAATCTGAAACTTACATGCGCTATATATATATATATATATATATATATATATATCTTGATACAATCAAATTGCACACAAATGAAAATTGGCAAAATTGATCAAATAAATTTACTTTTCAACTTTTTGATGGAGTTTTGTTCCCTAAGCTACAAATCTTCTCCACCATTTACTTTCCAACTAATTATTACATGAAAGTGAAATCAATGTTTGTCTTATTTCACAGTATTTATAAAGGAATATATTCTAAAACTAACTTTTTGTAATAATGCTCAGATAACTGCTACCATTTTTTTGTGTAAAATTGTTATCATGGTACTAGAAACACAAAATTGTTTTTCTATCTAATTTAGTATAACATTAAATTACGTTCCTACACATTCGAGATTTTTAAGCCTGTGCACAAATTTTATATTACTTATAGTTCCGACTTATTGATTTTCCTTTTTATGCATGCACAATTATCGTTTATTAAAGTCCCATTCTCCTTTAATATCTATAACGTTTATTTTCTGTGAATGTTTTTATTGCTTGTCATTTAATTTTAATGTCTGGGTAATGGTATTTGCTCAAATAAACTGCAAACATAAGCTTTTTATAATCAAACTGTATTACTTTATGAGTATCTGCACATTAAGGTTTGATATGGAATTTGTTTTATCGCACATGCAGGGAATCTGGAATTAGATAAACACTTTTTATTCTGTGGTGTGATTCATTCTCCAGCTGAGATCGTTATGAATATAGATTCTATTTTAAGAAATATTTGTGCAAATTCAATAGTTTTCATTTCACTAATTTATTTTCAGGAGCAATGTTCAGTTAAAAGGTCATGTGTATCATATAATGATCTTGGTTATAAGGTTGGTACCATGTTTTTTTTCTTTGTTTTTTGACAAGTCGGAACCTAACGAAGACATATGATTTTGCAATATTAACAGATAACTATCTAATCAAGCTACCGATCTAATGTCAATAATACATATTTGTATGTTTTACTCAACGCTTTGATTTAACTGAGCGATCTATGCCATTAATAATGGAATAACGGATTTTTAAATCATGATTTGTGATTAGTTACTTGAGCCATTGTATTTATAATATATGCATAATGACTTATTATTGTAATTTTAAACGTACTAAACAATTCCTATCAACTTTGAAATTAATTACTTTTTTTAACAGTACAAACGGTATATACATTGTCAGGAAATTATTATCTCTATTAATAATTTCTTAGTAATATGTTTTAATTGATTAAATCATAAACTTTTTATCTTAGTTCTATTTACTCATTTATATCAGCTTTCTCTAGGTAGTAGAGAACAAGGAGCAAGTTCACTTTCAAAAGCGCTTAGTATTCACAATGAATGTCAACATCCTTATCATCGATATAATCAACCTTTAACTAATTGCTTATCCTCTGGTTCTGAAGCATGTACTGTCATTTGCGGTTTAATTGAATTTCTAAAATCACCAATTCTTGTATTGTTAAGATTAAACAAAACTATTCAACGTTCATGTATTTCGGAAGTGGATATTCCAGTACGTTTTATATTTATTTATGTTGGACCACAAAATGATGAATTAAATTATGCTGAATTGGCTCGTATATTTGCAGTAATGATGACTAATGATGTAAGTTAATATTCCGATTAGTTGTTTTTGAATTTGATTTCTTTTTCGAGTAATACAGATGATAATACAGATAAACAGAGTTTTTCAATCACTTCGTTAAATGTTCCACTTCACTTCTGTTGACTCAGACCAAACATCGAGCCTAAAAGCTGAATACATTATGTTTGAGTTTTACTCTACTCAATGTGTTGTTTGGCTTTTTTTGGAAAACACTTTTTCAGACTATAACAATGTGTTAGTGAAAATTTAAGTCAATTTATATAATAACATGTTTTTTCTTAACACTACATGTGAAGCATTCACATAAGCTTAACAACTGACTTAGCTATGTAATTTCTTACGCATGATGGAATATAAGTAAATTGATCAGCTGATTTGTTAAGAAATATGACATCATTTAATGCAAAGGAATCCAATTTAGAAGTTTTTTTCTCTTAAATGCAGGATTTGAGTGGGTTGATTAATAACATTAGAGAAAATTTGGATCTTATTTTTATAATTCAGTTTAGCAACTAAAAACTTCTGAATTTCGTTTCTGACATATGTACACAACATTCATCAATTCCAACAATGTACATCTAAGGTATTTTGTAATTTTCAGGAATTTTGTACTTTTTAAGCACAAAAAGATATGTCTACAATAAGGGGAATTGAGCTGTAATGTAATACAAAACCGCCGTTATACAATTGTTTGTGGTTTATCCTATATCAACATCCTCTCCAGCTATGTTTTCATATTTTAAAGGAAGCATAATACTGTTAATGATCTTTGCCTTCAATGGTTGTCCTAATGATGACGATTCATGAAATATGATTGTTATATTGCATTGTCGTAAATTCGTGATTTAAAAACTTCACTTGTCATCTCAGTTATTAATAACAAAACAATTTAGTATTTTCAATAAATTTTCATTAGAATAGTTTTGGATTGTATTATAAATTACCTAAACTAAAGCATTATACTGCATTAAATTGTCTGTAAGCAACATTGACTATGCTATTTACATTTAATTTAAGCTTAACGTTAAAGAGTTATTAACTATAAAATCATTTTAATGTATAATCATATCAGAATGTGTTAACAAATGTAATTATGTGAACCATTCCCATAAAATATATTATAGCCGAAAATGTGCTTCTGATTGAATTTACATAAAAATTTTTTACATAACAAAAAAAGTGATAGCAAGATGACATTTATTTGAATCATTTTATTATTTATTAAAACAACATATTACTGTGTATCTACAAACAAACTACATCTCACTAATAGATATCTATCTGCGTGTCATAGTATTTTTAACATTGGAAGAGGTATATATTTACTATGACAATTTTAGTTCTCTCAACAATTTTCAAGCTGTATCATTTAATACCTGGTTTCATTAACTTAATATGAACGATTAGTTATCATATGGACTGTGTTTACCAATTACTGTCCAACCTTCAATACTAATCGATAACAACGTATTACGATATTTTCTATCTGTTGTATTAATTGTTTCAATTTGACATTTACGTTTCTGTTAAACGGCAGTTTGTTATTCAGTGATTTGTTTAACTAGGAAACTTAAATCGGACAACTTCATTTCTTGTAAGGAAGTTTTCTAGACTATATTTCTATTTATCTTTCTTTCAAAGTATAATTTACAGGAAAAAAAATTAAGTAGTACGAGAACAGTGAGCGCACATACGTTCATGAAAAGCACTCCATCATAGCATTCACATATAAAGATCATATCACAATTTTGGAAATTAATATTTTTTCAAGTTGCTTCAAATGCTTTTCATTATTTTTCTAAGGTCGTCTGGTTTTTCAGAAACAGGTAGACTTTCGTGGCTCTGTTTGAATTAAATTAGTCGACTTTTAAGTTTTGGTCGTTTTATCGAAACTGGCTATAAAAACTTCGTGTTCAAAATATTGCGCTCAGAAAACGTAACTTCACCGAAATACACCTCTTTAACTACAAATGCTATTCATAATTTTGAAATGTACTTCAGCGTGGTATTTGATACTATATATTTTAGTAAGTTAAAACGTTTAATTGACAACACTCGCATTGTAACCAGCAGAGCATTACATGACTCATATTTTACTATATTTGAGGGACCTAGGTGAAATAAACCTGATGTCATTGTTGATGTTCACACTAACACTCAAATTTAGTACTTTTCACTTCAAACTCCAACTAACTTGTGAAGCAGGTACGAAGTAATTTATAACGGTTTTTTTATTTCTAGTTGTTTGTTTTCAGGACTACGTCCGAGTAATTTCTATAAATATACTATGAACTTGTAAGTATAAGGCTCTGTATATATGTCATCAGACTGTGCAACAAGAAAAAATCTACAAAAGACTGACGGTAGTTTTTAAAACGTTCTGTAATGAAACTTGGTTTTTCTGTAATAACTACTTCAAGCTAAACAAATTAGTTTATCACAGTTGAAAGTACTAGTCGATTTAAGATAGACTGTCACTAAAAACCTAAAAGCACCCTATTTTTTTTCAACTAATTTTTACACTCCTTTAAATTTATATTCTGTTTATTTTAAATTTACCTTTAATATAGACATTTCGATTATGCGTTTACGACTCAATTTCAGTTGATGATATTATAAAAGGAATTGATAATTTTATGCAAGATTCATTTGTTATGCCACTTTCACGTCATTATAATGCTAATGCTCTAGCTGGAATGACACGTCAAATTGAAGCATATAGAAAAGAAACAGTTTGTGAAAGAGATGGTGATCGACGACCAAAAGGTATGATTAATTTATAAATTATTTTATAATATTTTAACACTATTCATGAACTTAAATAATCTTTAATGTTGTCTAAATAACTGATGTGTAATTCATTATTATGAAGGTTCATAAGATGAGTCAACACTAATTATACTGTTATTTTATTCGAGCAAACCTAATTAGCTTACGTGTTTATTTAATGTATTTGTAATAATGATTAACTTGCATGATTAGTATTTTTCGATTGAATAAAAAGTTAATTTACATCACAAACTGACTTGAGCTACATATCTATTCACAATCAAGAAACATCGAGCAGTTGTTTTACATGTGTTTTAAAATTCATCACCTGTGTTGACCCACGGGTTTGTTTGATATCTTGGTGAAATCTTTGCTCAGTGATCTATAAGTAGTGTTCTTTCCTTGAAAACTGATGGTTTTATATTTGATCGCTGGCAATGTTACCAGTACATACTGATGTGGAGTCCAAAACTAGGACGAAGTATCTGTTCAATGAATAATGATCTTGAGTAGTCGTCTAGCTAAAGTCATTGTGGTATGTAAGCTAAGTTGTTTGGTAGCCATTAGCTGAAGATTTTCTTGAGCATTAGGACAAGCAGAATACCATATATATATGGAGAAACACAGACGACCGTTTTAGTCAAAATAAATCGATTTTCTCTGATAATTTACTCTCTGTGAGCTAAGTGGTAGAAATTCTAAATTTCAATTCGGTTAATAATCTTCAAATCTCATGACAATCATTTTCAGGATGTATGCAGACTCAAAGAGATGTCAACTTTTCTTAATATGTTCATTCAAAAAACTAGAATTTTGATGTCGCATAATTGAGATAATTAGTGTCGTCTACTCAACATAATTAAAATGAAGTCTTACGAAATGTAAAATCTACTGACAGCTTCAGAATAATCGTATTGAAAATACTCAATAAAATTCTTTTGTAGACAGTCAATTAAAAAGAAACGAAACCATATTGTGAATATCATTTACTGACTTTATTGAAATCATCATTGACTGTTCTTAAGAAACTCTTAAATTCTACATTTAAGCTCACTTTTAGTGATCTATCTTCTATCATCAAACCATATCTTCTATTGCAATTCATGACTGAATGACAATAGCATATGAACATTATTCTGTGTATAGTTAGTTATACTTTGAAAGCTAAAAATCATAATCAAAAACTACAATGGAAAATATCAACAATAATTAAGAGTGAATTCAAAGTGATCATGAGTCTTTCTGAAATAAAAAAAAAGAAAAAGAAAAGTGAGAAATCAAAGGTATAATTTACCATGATAGTTATAGCTAATTTGCATCTCTTTAAATTGTAGTAAATAAATTTCATTTTTAAAGTCACTCAAATATAAAATCCGGATGAAATTAGAAATAAAATTTCAAAAAATTTTTTTAAAAAAAATCTAAAAAGAGAATTTTCATTTGTAAAGTGAAAGTTTATATCAACAAAAAAAAATGTTTTGAGTAAATGAATAATTTCAGAAAATTGTTGTCAATGTATCGAACAACAGATGAAACTTATTTGTATAGACAATTTAATGTTTCACTTATGAATAATAAGTCTAAATTTACACATCCTCTTTTGATATATTATTCTTACTATGATGCAAGTAGTATACAAACAAATTAAAATAGATTATATTAAAACATATTCATTAAGTCATTAACTTTTGATTTGGATGTTTTAAAGAGATTGACTACAAAATTAATCGTAATATCCAGTTGAGTAACTTAACCTTTTTTTATATAGATCTCCTTATTCTGAGGATTAAGTCATTCTTTCTTTTTTTTTTTCTTGTACTTTAGTTTTATTTGTATCCTTATGATTCTTCACTTCTTAAGTTCAATATCTATTTTTTTTTTTAAATTAACTTTATTTTCTTTTTCTGCGACCAATTAATTTTTACTTACTGTGCTGTTATTTGTCACCAAAGAGATCGATAAATACTTTGCCAGTTCCAATGAAAAATTAACATTTGATGCATTCTGGAATATTGAATATATTGTTTATACTGAACAGTATTACTCCTTGTTATTTGATTAGTTTTTTTTTTGTTTCTACTCAAATATCTATTATTTCTATATATCAACGTTATAATGTATCAAAGTATAAACATTTGTTCATATAGTGAACAATGATGTTAAATTTTCAATAATGTAATATTTTTTACAGTATCTTTGTCTTCGTTAAATAAGATCAGTAAATTTAAAAGGAAGAAAAATAATATATTTATGTCATGGATTATTTTCAGCCATTTACAGTCTCAGAACGACAAATATTGTTTTGAAAATACAGATATACATACTTTATATCATGCTGACAGAAAAGTATTCGTGAAGATTGAAAACTGTGTTAAGATTAGTTAGTATTAAACTAATAATGGTTGAAGAATTGAAAGGTACTTCGAATCTTCTTATTGTTGATGTCAAGGTTTGCAGTTGATCATTTTCTCTTGCCATACTTATATTCTGTCTGAATTGCCTTGATAATGACGTCACTTTGCAAGCATTCTAAGCAGAGTTAGGTAGTGGCTAGCAATATAATCCCTAATGTATCGATTAGTGACTAACTAAACTTAGTAGATGAGTGAATAATGCCTAGGGCGTTTTAAGCGAAAGAGCTTAGGTTTTATTACTGATTTAAACATCAGAACTGACGTCTCAATACATTCAATTGATGAGTTTCAATGGGAAGAAATGAGCATCTTGGATTCCATAGTTAGTCACTATCCAACTCTGTCCAAAATTACTGAAATTGTTTATTTCAGATTATTTACAGGTTATCTATATGAAAAGTTGAAAAGAGAAAATTCATAGAAGCATTATTACAAGTTTATAGCCAAAAAAATAATTAATGTCATGAGATACACGGCATCAACCACAAGAGAGAATAATTAGTAAGGTTGAGTGAAATAAGTCCAGAGAAAAAAGAAAGGAAAAATATTCTGAATGACAGAAGAAAATACAATAAGTTTAAGTATTGACCTTAATTTTATTGCCTGTTAAATTTGATTTACATAAAACTATTCATTTTCTTCTTTTATAATCTATTCCTTTTACTTGCTCATTTTGTAATCTTTATTCACTTAAGCTCGCTGAGCAGTTTTCTTTTGTGCTAAATATTGTTCTATGCGTGATATTAACTGTTCATATCAGAAACCTATTGTCTTGATATCCTTCTGACTTTTTGTTTTTAGAATGTTATGCATGGATTTAAGAAATAAACGATAGGGAATATTAAACTTTCTTGAGATTAGTTCATATTTTATGCTTTATTACCGATCTATTTCTCATACATCTTCAAAGTTGATCAAAATATATATGTAAACATAATCGAAATTCGTTAAATTTATCTTTAACAAACGATACTACTATATTTGGTTTGTAACCAGCTAAAGAGAAACTGCAAGTCAAATGAGTGTCATACAATAAGATTTTCTGATTTACTGTGTGAATTTCTGATTGTTCCAAGTAAAAAAAGGAATGTTTAATTGATAAATGCTATAGATAAAAAAAATAGAAACTCAAGGAACCTAATTATTGACTTGAGATACTTCTTCCTATCCAATTGAAATGGTAACAGAAGATAAAACAACTGTCCAGTAGAGTAGGCTTTTTTCTACTGGCATACAAAATATCAAACTAGAAATTAGTTAATAAATAAACAATCGGAAAACTTGGCGACTATAGACCGTTCTTACTCCAATGCAATTAATAATTCACTATCAGGTTTAATTCTAACCCAATCTTATCAGTGGATTAGTATTCGTCGCCTGCAATTGATTGTTTTGCTGTCGTAATATTTATAAAGCAGTGGGATTAGAAATTGATGGATCTCATGGAAGCAGTATCTGACTAATTATTATGTGTGATCGGACCATATAAAGTGGGTTTCTTTATTAAATTTTATAATAAAAACTTACATTTTATATCAACACAATGGAATAAATAAACTTGTCATATGAAAGAAATTTCTTTTTTTTTCCTAGCTCTTGTATTTTTTTTTCCTTTTATTACGTCCATTTGTTTTTAGATATACGAAGAATGTGATAATGATTAACTAATTTATTATCATATTATTTGGAAATTTCACATTTGTTTACCTCGTTTATATTTTCCATACACTTCTATGCATCCTATACATATATATATATACATATTGACTGTATTCATTGTTCATTATCTCTATTTGATAATCTATATTTCACCTTTGTGTAAACATTTTACTCAGTTGTACCCTCATATTTCCGTATATATATCTTTTCGATTTTTAAATTTCTTTCAAATATAGAAAATATATTCAGAACAAAAAAACAATAAATCTATATGTACAATTATCAAGACTGGTTTATTCGTTTGTTTGTTTGTTTTTTGTGTCTTGATTACATGAAATAAATTTCTTGTTATAATCAACAATGCATTTTTCATGTTTTAAAATAATCTATGGGAGATATTCAGAAACATAAGAATAAATGTATGTATATGTTATAAATTTATGTAAAAATTTCCTCATTTTCTTTCCCCCCCCCCAAAAAAGTATATTCTCCTTAAGTAAAACTGATTGATTATTGATAAAAGTGATATTAAGATAAATTAGATGAAGTTCAATCAGACAGATATCATTGATAATATTTCATCACAATGAAATTTAATCGTACATTAAATATTGAAAATATGGAAAAAATTTGATTTGGAAACTAGTTGTTTAAATGTTATGTACTTGATAAAATATGCAAAAATCCTAGTTTTTGGAATTGCCAGGGCTATAGGTGAATAAAACTAGAATAAAATAGTTACCCGGTACCATTTAATGAGACTCAATGATTCAACAATTGGTGCTAATCTAATTTTGTGTTCAGTTAGAATGCTTATTTATTTAGTTATTAATACATAATTAACTACAATAAAATATTAAATATTGATGTAAATAGTCAAGTAGTATTCCAAATAAAATATTCATTTCTCCTTTGAACTGTATTAACTTTTATTAAAACCCATTAACAATATATATCACCAAAATTAATGATTATTAATCAGCTACCATTATATACATTATGGCAACTAATTTTTTTCTCAAAACAAATAAAATAACATTTTATTCTTATCGAATTAATCAATAATATTAATAATTTAATTTCCAGCATGAAACCTAACTTTCTTATACACAGGTTCATTTGCAGTGAGAAAGTTAACGGAACAATCACAAACCAATTTAGTCAATGGTTCATATGTTCCATCTTCACTTAATTTAAAACAACAAGCTGATAACGTTATTAAACCAGATAGTGATAAACTACCTGTACCAACAAATGAAACTGATACACCTAAAATATCTAAAAGAAAAATATTTTTACGGGATTTTTGTCCACCATTTATTGAATTATCACGTGGAATTCGACCATGGATAAAACGAATGCCAGGTGATTATAAAGATGCAGTAAGAAAAGAAAATTTAAGTATTGTTTTTGGCAGTGTTCTATTTATCTACTTTGTCAATCTTTCACCATCTATTACATTTGCTGCATTATTAAGTAAGTTTGACTATTGAATAATCGTAACTCTATTTCATTTAGTTTATTGCATAAACAAACTGTTTTTTGCACCTATTACATGTTTAAATGAATAAGTTATTTATAAGTTTAAATTTTGCGGTAATTAATGTAAACAGGCCGAAAATATTTACAAAAGCCTAAAAATCATAAGATTGTGCCATTACCAAAGATAAGAGAAAAGGAATAAATAAATAAAACACCTGATCCATGCCATGTTATGTAATATACTAATACAGTCCATTCGTTAGATAATTTTCACTTTTTGTAAAGGCTAATGTTTTAATTGACATCGCAGCGTTGACAAGAGTTTGAAGTAATTTTACTGTCTAAATAATACGGAAGATGAATGATCCTGTATAAATTGTTTGTTGATAAGGCTGTTGTATCTTATATATACATATTTTTTTAGTTTAATATACACATTTCCCAGAAATACAGTAACATCGGATGTTATTGTGTTGATAAAATCTAGATAATGGTTCATCTTTCACAGTGCTACAGTGTAAATATAACAAATATAAATAAACTACTACGGTTATTATCACTGTAATGAACAGGATATATGTTACTGCAATTTCTAATATTACTTCAACGATAATACTAGCAACTTCATTGATGTAAGACTACCATATATGTGTAAATGTTAGTAAAACATTATTAATACTAATTATAACGTGTATATGAATATGTTTCTGTGTTTTCAATGATTATTCCCTGAATTTTACTATTTAAGTTAAACTACAAAAGAAAAAGACTAAAAGTTGAGAACGTGATGTTAGGTGACAACTGAGTGTATCTGAATTTAAATACTTAAAAATATCTCTGTGATCTTTATGACGAAATGTTTTCCACTTTATTTTCATAAAAGTAACTGTTATCAGTGGTGTTAGTTACTTTTATTGTCAAACCAATGTCTAACTTTTTTTCTGAAGTTAACTATATATATGGTTAGCTAATATTGTACTACTTTAAGAGCATATACGCATTCCAATCATTTTATGGTTTGTTGCTTTCCGAAGAAATTTCTTGTAAATGTTATGAACTCAAAGTGTTGTGCTATTAATTTATTCTCCATAATCAAAGAGTTGTTATCACTTGAGACCACCTTACAACAACAAAAAAAAAAACAAATTTCCTCTATATTTGATTTTAGTAAAAGCTTAAAGAAAGTTGCAATATTCTAAAATTAGAATATTTCATATTACCTTATTCTTCAAGTTATCTTTTGATGATAAGATCCTCTTATTTATGTGAATAGCATAAGTTTAGTTAGCAATAATCATACGCATTTTGTAAGGCGTTTATTTAATTTTCCAGATAATAGGTTTACATAAAACCTTAGTTGTTGTTTAAGAAACCATCTGTCAGTTAGCTTAACATCAAAAAGAAATTCTGCCATCTGTAATTACTTTATATGAATAGTCTGAAAACTCGACTAGTTTGAAATAAAATTCTCAGAAAACTGATAACACATCAGGAATACGTTACATTTTGTTGTCCTACTTGAAGGAATTCAGTAGATCTTCACTTCTTTGTAATCCAATTTGAGTATTATGAAATGAACAATATTGAAAGGCTTGAATAGCCATGTAGTAGATTGTGTGACTTAGATACTGGATGGAGTTGTTGCAAATCTCTTGAATATCTAGACGTTTTCATAATATTACAGATATGCTGTCCTTGTTCATACTAACCAGCTTGAAAAGTTAGTCCAGTACTTTCCGTCGACAGATTGTAACTGTCTAACATGTTTGATGAGAATAGTGCACAAATACCAGCTTCGATTCTGCCTCAGTTTTGTAACCGAAAAAATGGTTCACTTTTTTAAAAAATATCCACTTATATTCTATGTTGCAATATATTTTAATTTATAATAGGATCGATTTCACATGATGTCATTCAATTTGTTACACTAAATTTGCTAACCGATAACAAAAAAAAAACAAACCTCTCACTTAGATATAAAATATGAAATTAGGCTAGAGGATATTCACTTAAACCTTATGTCTTACTATTATTTAATAGTTAAAGTGATAAACAAATGCTTAAAACATCTGTTTTGTTGAAAGATACCACTTTTCTTATTCTACATCACTAGTGTTTTTGTATTTCTTACAACTAGATAGAGCAATCTGCTTTGAATTAACAACTTGTGTTTGTTTCATTATCAAAATTTAGGTTTAGTATAAAAATAGTTTATCTACGGAAGATTCTCTATAATAATGTATGGTTTAATTAAATTAGTTTGAATTGTTTCAAATAAAAAATAAAATACCATACTATAATGTAGATACTTAGACCATTGTAGAGGTTAATTTCGCCTATATCTTACATCAATAAATAGTATCCCGTCAACTGAGTATTTAACGCCGGCTAAATCTCCTAGTAGAGTAATGAATTTACTCGAGATTATTCAAAAGCCTGAACACCAGTTGTAGAAATAGTTTATCGTTAAAGATTAATAAAATCCACAAGCGTACAGGAATCAAGCACACAGTGAGACCAAGAGTGTGTGTGCGTGTGAGTGTTAATAATCCATATATATTTTTGAGTGTTAATCAAGTGTGGATAATTTATTGATTGTCTGTGTATTACAACCAATGGGAGAATAGATTGAAAATTGATGTGCAGAAATGTGCTCAATCATACTCACACAGAAATTTACATAGTGGATTAAGTGTCTAAATTATAGTGAGCAGATAAATAACAGAGTAGTTGAATGGGCTTATTACGCCATATTACTACAATTACTATTGTTTTAAATATTAGCTCAGTCACTAGTGAAAATAATGCTCTAATATATTTGAAGGGTTCAAGGCTAACGAATAATTTACTTTTTTTTTCTTAATTTTTACCAAAATAACAGTAATTTGTTAACTCTAATTGTTCGATGACATCTTTTGCACTGATTACTTCAAACATTTAGTTATTATTTAACAAAGTTGATTAATCTATCTGGAAGGGCAGTTGTTTTTGAATGAAATTTTAATGCAGCTAAATAACAATCCACATATGAAGAAGCACCTTAAAATTTCTTTCATATTCATGTAATAACATTAAGTTTTAATTCCACATTAAATCAAAAACAATCATGGTGCTTTGAATAAATTACTTTTTATATATGATTACTGACACCATTAATAAGTATAATATACTTTAACACTGCATAGCTATGAATTAAGAAATTTATAACATTAAATCTCTTTGTTAAAGTAGTATCTTGGTTTTTATCGTAAAGTTACCGTTGTAAATTTGATAACACTGTTTGTTCAATAAGATATTGATATCATTACTATGGTCTCTTACCAGGCTAACTAATGTTAACATTTGAAGAAATTAAATCTTTTGACAATAAGTATTAATAAATCTAATAGAAGATATCATACATATGCAATATGAGAAATACTAAAATATTTACATTGATTACTTTCCATTAATAATGGCTAATTAATATTAGATTGTTGGAAACTAATTTCAGAAAGCTTAATATGATTTAGATTCAAATGGAAACCTTTTTACAATCCTTATGAAACTAATTTTTATCAATAAATTGATTATATTTTATTTACTTATTTACTTAATTACGCCTCTTACTCACGATGGAGCATAGGCTGCCGACCAGCATTATCCAACCCACTCTGTCCCGAGCCTTGCTTTCCACTTGGACCTAGTTTGTTCTCTCCCACAATAGGTTGTTGCATATTTTAGTTAAAAATTATAAGATGCTGGCAATAGCTTAACTTGTTCTAAAGAACAAGAAAAAAATTAGTCTATATTAACATGTGACATTGACAACTATTAGTATATAGGCACGGACTAGAAAATAGTTTTTTTTCTTTTACATATCAATAGTTTCTACACTGTTCTATATCTTCATTCAATTATGTACCCATTTTGATCAACAATTTTATGTTATTCTTTCTTTTCTTTTTTTTTCAAAATTTCCCGAAAACGTGTTTACTTTCTAAATTCCTATTTCTGGCCATAATAAAATTCTTTTCATTTACTCATAGTTCTAAATTATTTTCATTTCCTGTAGCCAAATAAAAAATTAAAAACAAAACAAAGACAAAAACACTTTGAAGTTAATATAAATGTAGACTAGAATCTATTATCAAGAAAAAAAAAGAGTTCTCAATTCTGTTTATTTCTAAATTATATTGATTATAGAATAAGGAAAAAATTGGCGGATTATAAAATTATATTGATAATGAGTAGATTATTCAAATGAGGCTTTAATCAATCAATAATAAATTTATTGAAAATCGATTTATTGACTAAATTGGATGATAGTAATTAATAGAAAAAGTTGGATTGCATTTGATATTAATTATATAAATTTAAAATTTGTACTTATATAGCATAGTTTTATAATCAGAAATGTAATCGGAAACACGATTATTCAATTAGTAACTAACTTACAAATTTATCAAATAATAACAATAAATATTTAGTTTCAACATGATATTTAACAGAGAATTCGGTTTCACTAAAATTGTTTGATATACTCCAAGGTTTTTTGTACCCAAATAATTATATCTGGTTATAAAATAAATCGAAATAGTCTGTTGGCCGTATTACTATTTGACCAACAGAATTTGATCACTTGTAAATATGAGACATGACATAGTCTACAACTGAATGATTTGTGGGAAAGTTTTTAGACTTTCCAAAATTATTGTTTAAGCAAAAACAGCAAGTGATAAATATCGTAGTATCTAAAAACGATCATTTTAATCGGTTCAAGATCGGTTATTTCAATGATGAAAAATTGAAATATGTAATTTTCTTATATAATTGAGATTGTTTAAACTTAATATTTTAGGTTGAATTATTTAGCTTCTAATTTTTTTCGCTTTACAGTGAATTGAAAATAGCAATACTATAATTTGCAGTAAACACATTTCATTCAAACATAATTAAGAGTCGCTGCAAGTTAGTTGTCATAATTCAGTGTGTTTAAGGCTTACTTACTTACTTAGGCCGCCAACCAGCATTCTCCAACCCACTCTGTCCTGAGCCTTCTTTTCTAGTTCCATCCAATTCTTGTTCATTTTTCTCATATCTACCTCCATTTCTCGGCGTAATGTATTCTTTGGTCTTCCTCTCCTCCTTCAACCTTGAGGATTCCATGTGAGTGCTTGTCTTGTGACGCAGTTCGGTGAGTTCCCCAATGTGTGTCCTATCCACTTTCAGCGCTTCTTCCTGATTTCTTCCTCCACTGGGATCTGATTTGTTCTCTCCCACAGTAGGTTGTTGCTAATAGTGTCCGGGCAACGGATCCGAAGTATTTTGCACAGACAACTGTTAATGTACACTTGTATCTTTTGGATGATGGATTTCGTAGTTGTCCAGGTTTCCACCCCATACAGTAGAACTGTCTTAACATTTGTATTGAAAATTGTGACTTTGGTGTTGGTTGCCAATTATTTTGAATTCCAGATGTTCTTCAGTTGTAAATATGCTGCTCTTGCTTTACCGATCCACATCTTCACATCTGCATCAGATCCACCGTGTTCATCAATGATGCTGTCCAGATATGTGAAGGTTTTTACATCTTCCAAATCTTCTCCGTCAATTGTGATTGGATTGGTGAATGCTGTGTTGTATCGGAGAATCTTGCTTTTCCCTTTGTGTATATTGAGACCTATTGCTGCTGAGGCTGCTGCTACACTGGTTGTCTTCTCTTGCATTTGTTGTTGCGTATGCGATAGAAGAGCCAGATCATCTGCAAAGTCTAGATCATCCAACTGCGTTCTAGATGTCTACTGTATCCTGTGCTTCCCTACAGATGTTAATTTCTTCATGATCCAATCGATCACCATGAGAAAGAGAAAAGGTGAGAGTAAACAACCTTGCCTGACACCGGTCTTTACTTCGAACGACTTTGTCAACTGTCCTCCATGAACGATTTTGCAGTTTAATCCATCGTAGGAATTCCGTATGATATTGACTATTTTCTGAGGCACGCCGTAGTGTCGAAGAAGCTTCTATAGTGTTGTTCTGTCCACGCTGTCAAATGCTTTTTCGTAGTCAATGAAGTTGATATAGAGTGATGAATTCCATTCAATTGATTGTTCCACAGTGATCCGTAGAGTTGCGATTTGGTCTGTACACGATCTATCCTTACGGAATCCAACATGTTGGTCTCGAAGTTGTGTGTCTACGGAGTCCTTCATCCTGTTTAACAATACCCTGTTGAAGACTTTTCCTGTTATTGAGAGAAAAGTGATTCCCCTGTAGTTGTCACAGTTGCTGAGATCGCCTTTCTTTGATATTTTGACTAGAAGTCCTTCTTTCCAGTCTTTTGGTACCTGTTCCTCATCCCAAATCTTTCTGAAGAGAATGTTTAGTATTCTTGCAGTTACCGCCAATTCTGCTTTCAGTGCCTCTGCTGGGATTTTGTCTGGTCCTGCTGCTTTACCACTCTTGATTTGTCTGATAGCCATACTGATTTCGTCAATTGTTGGTAGGCCAACATCGATTGGGAGGTCCGTGAGTGCTGCTTCGATGTTGGATGGGTTCAGTGAAGCTGGTCGATTCAAGAGTTCTTTGAAATGTTCCACCTACCTGTTCCGTTGTTCTTCAATGTTGGTGATTACCTTACCTTCCTTGTTTTTCACTGGTCGTTCTAGTTTACGGTGATTTCCAGAGAGTTTCTTTGTTGTGTCATACAGTTGTCTCATGTTTCCTTCTCTTGTAGCCTTTTCTGTCGTCATTGCTAAATCTTCCACATATTTACGTTTGTCAGTTCTGATGCTCCTCTTCACTTGCTTGTTTACTTCTGTGTATTCAGCTTGTGCCTTGGCTTTTTCTGCTCTTGTTCGACTGGTATTGATTGCTGCTTTCTTGTTCCTCCTTTCTTGAATCTTAACTAGTGCATCGATCGTGATCCAATCCTTGTGATGGAGCTTCTTTTGGCCCAGAACCTCATGACATGTTGAAGTGATTGTCTCTTTTATCTCTTTCTAGTTGCTCTCCATAGTAGTTTCTTTTCCATTGAGTAGATCATGAAAGGCTTGGAACTGCGCCTGGAGTCCCTTTCGGGGGGCTACTGCCGGTCCCAAGCCCGGATAAAGGAGGAGGTTTGGGCATGGGGTTAGCGACCCCATCCCGTAGAAAACTAACTCGTTAAAACAATACTAACCAGAAAAAATTATTCAAACCATTTAAACTCTGCCCTGGGAGTCAGGAGGTCTTTGTTTGGAAGAATTATGACGCCTCATGATGAAAGCCGAGTTTCTTCGGAAGTCACGAGGCCGATGCCCCTTCTGACAACCAGAGCAACCATTTATTTAGGTGCATGGAATGCTCGCACAATGTGGGAGACTGGGAGAGTTTTCCAAATTGCTGCAGAAATGAGGAGATACAACCTGGAGATGCTTGAGATCAGTGTTTTAGGCTGGTAAAAGTTTATCTTCATAGAGTTTTTTTATTTATATTTTATTCTAATATGTTAGTATTATGTTTTAAATCATGTTACTATTACATCTATTTCGTTTATGTTAAAACATTTAACTGTGAGTTTAATCGATTCCACTTGTCTGTGAATTAATACAATATGTTAGTGTGTTAGGGTTAACATTTCAAATATTGGCTACCAATTGAATAAAATAAATAGTAAATAATGCAAATGTACTGATTTCTTATTTTTTATTCCAGATACACAAGTTGATCCTTCCTACACCGTGACGTTAACTCTTTTAGCAGTTGGAGTGTTTTTGATTATTTTCACTATTTTATCCGGGCAACCACTTGCAATTATTGGTATCTCTGCTCCTATGTACATTGTTGAATCTTCTTTAGTGTCGGTAAGTATTATTAGTGTATCACTTTTGAAATATATTACAAAAACTTTGTTTGTATGGAAAAACAGTTGATCTCAAATTACATTTTAATTCTATGATTTAGGTAATTTACTTTTTAATAATGTTAACACCATTTTGTTGACTTAAATGCAACATTTAGCCTTTAACTGGTTGACCCCCAGCCTGAAGATACCTCATGTGCCCAGAGAATTTGAGGAGGAATATGTAGGAGAACTTGTATGAGAAATGAACAAAAGAAGAGGTGAGCCAACACCTCAGTAAGTATATAATATATGCCTGCATTTATTAATGAATGCAATCTATATCGGTTCAAAATAACACAAGCGTGAAATCAAAAGAATCTGATAATCGAAGTTAGAAATTGATAACGTGGGGTTTTAAATGTTTTTCCTGTGATTTTCTCGAATAATGTATAAAATGAGCTGGCAAGGTCGTTGTTTATGGGAACAACTAAATCAAAAACCAACTTTACTGTTCTTAAACGCCCGTCATTTGAATCAGTTTATTCTTTGTACCCTATCTTTCATCAGCATTTGTTTAGTAAAAGATTTAATATCGTCATAAATACAGTTTTTACATGAGCGAGTGATATTGCACCCGATTATACACAAAATTCTGGGTCCTTAGTCTGACCACTACTTCAGACTACTGTTAACGAATATAGATATCGGTGTTTTCTTTTTGCTTCGGAAATGTTAAATAGTCATGTAGGTGATATGAAATCTGGAAATATAAAGCAGTTTCACAGTTGAGTTCTTACGGAATTTCAAGGTTTCTTTAAACAAAAGTAATAGACGTGAAACAAGTATCTTGTTAAAAATAGGGAGTAGCTAGTTTATACATTTATCAAACATAATATGTCTATTTTTGTTATCTGTAATTCGTACCAAGTATTCACAAATTTACAGAAAAGAATACGCAGTCGTACGGCAGTCGATAATAAATAATTTGTACGGTTGTAACTATCAGTTTTAGGCCGATTCACTGATAGAATTTAATGTCGTTTGAAATTCCAGATCTAATTGTGATAAACGTCATTATCCAATTGCATAATCGAAGTTTAAAACTTCTATTCTTAATAATTTGTGAATAAGAAAATGAAAATATGGATTTCATAGCAGACGATTATCCATCTATTGCTAAAGAGTGAAACACATATATCATTTTTCTATGTGTTCACAATTTTTTCACTTTTATTAGCCTTGTATATATTCAGCTGTCAACTACCTTCCTATCAACATTGTTCTACATTTTACAGCTGTATAGCTTGGTTTGCATGATACATGTGAATAGATTTTTTATAGCTGTTTACGATTATATCATTTATTAGTTATTAGTTGGTTTCACGTATATTTTGATTATTTCACACATCTGGTCTCTATAGATAATTGTAAAGGAAGTAAAAATTATAAGATTAAAACAATAAAATTTCTACCATGATTATTGATAGTCATAACCTCACCTTACCTATTTAAAATAACTAAATATTCTGAATAAATATATCAGTCAGTCAGTTACCCATTGGCTAAATCGAACCTGGTACATACGCCTACCGGTTCAAGTTCCAATATAACATCATCACAGAGATAAAAAAAATTATCAAGACAAATAGCAAAGTAGTAGAAGCATTAGCAGTATCAACAGTAGTAGAACAGATTAGTTATAGACAATATTATTTGACAAGAATAAATGAAAGTAAAAAACAAAACGTATAAGATAATTTTCGAAAAAAATAAATTTGATGATAGGTAATGAATGAATGCTTGTATGACAAGGTAACCAAATCTACACCACGCTAATCAATGTCTCCGAATATTGGTTACAGTAATTGTGTGGACTCCGATCGATTAATCGGAACCTCACTTCGATAACCAATGACTTCATGAACTGTTATATATTTATATATATGCTTTAATCCATAACTTTTATATTCCTCGTTTTATTCATATAAACTGTTTATATTGTTTAAAATATTTATGTCAAACTCATGAATTAACTAAATTTTTTTCCCATTGATTATTTCTAATCATACTTTTTCCACATAAATTTAGACAGCTTAAAACAAATAAATCATAAAATCATTTTATTCTGAATATCCAATCATTACTCATTACTTTATTCAATATATGCTTTTTGTTAATTCATCATAAATTTTAATTACTAGGTCTAGTAAATTTAGTGAGCCAACTTATCATGTACTATAATGGATGGTTCATAATAATACGATACTGAGTTCAGACAAAGAGGTATTGCAAAAATGTTTTACATTCTAATCAGGATGATTTGGGAGGAAGAACAAGAATCGATAGACCGGAAAAAAGGATAGCTCATCAAGATACCAAAGAAAGGAGATCACTACATATGTATCACTGTACTATTGGTACCAGTGTACATTTTCTACAGGGTGTTGCTGAATCGAATGAAAGATTCAGTAAACGCCAATCTTCAAGATCAACAGTTCGGATTCTGTAAGGATTGGTAGTACACAGACCAAATCATGACACTACAGACCATTGTTTAACAATCAGATGAATGGAACTCGTCACTATAAATCAACCATTTTGACTATGAGAAGGTGTTTGACAGTGTGGATAAGAAAATATTATCGAGCCTTCTTCCACACTATGGAGTGAGTAGCTGAGAATATCTTCAACATCATACGGAATTCATGCAACGGACTACATTTCAAAGTCCTGCATGGAAGACCGGAGTCAGATAAGGCTGCTTACTCTTCCCATTGTCTTTCTCCTGGAGTTCGACTGGATTATGAAAACCTCGACATCTGTGGGGAAGCACGGAATACAACGGACAGCTTGGAATCAATTAGGAGATTTTGACTTCACAGATGACCTATCCCTTCTATCCCGCACTCACGAACAAATGCAGATGAAGACAACTAGTGTAGCAGGAGCCTCATTAGTAGGCCTCAACATACACAAAGGAAAAAGCAAGATCTTCAAATACAACACGTAGAATACCACACAATCACACTTGATGGAGAAGGTAGAGTTTTTAACGTAACTGGTCAGCATCATCGATGAACAAGGAGGATCCAATGACGACGTAAATGCAGGGATTGGCAAAGCGAGGATATCATTCCTACAATTGAAGAATATATGGAACTCAAAACAACTGTCAACCAATATCAAAGTCAGAATTTTCAATACGAACAACAAGACAGTTCTACTGTACGGAGCTGAGACTTGAAAAAACTAGCACAACCATCATCAAAAATTTGTAGGTATTTTTGTAAACATTCGTCTATACAAAATGCTTAGTGCTCGTTGACCGGATACCATCAGCAACAACCTACTGTGGGGCAGAACAAACCAGCTTCCAGTTGAAGAGGAAATTAGGAAAACATATTGAAGGTGGTTGTGACATACATTGCGGAAATCACCAAAATACACCATGAGGCATGTTCCAACTTGGAATATTCAAAGCAAAAGAGAACGGAGAAAAGTAAAGAACACATTATTCAATGAAGTGGAAGGGAACATCAAAAGAGTAAATAACAGTAGGAAACGACTGAAAAGAAGAGTTTAAAACAAAGTCGGTTAGAGAGCCCTGATCGATGTTTCATGTTCCTCTACGAGGGTTAACAAGCATAATTGAAGTGAATTATTATAAGAAAACATTTCTGAATGAAACAGATTCAAATTCTTAAAATGTTAATTATAAATTATACATTTCTAAGTAGATGACAACTTTTTTTTAAAAAATTTGTTATCAACATCATAATTAAATGAGAAAAATTATAAATTTCGATAGAACAATGAGAAGACGGAGTTGATCTAAAAAATTTGATGTATTTGCGCTATACATTTCGAACAATCTGGTCACGCACATATACTTGTCAGGGCATTTTATTTGAAAATTAATAAAGGTCAATTACATGAAAGTTAAAGTACAAACAAAAATAACAAAGGGGAGAGATAGGATAAGAAATTGTCGCATTATCCTAGGCCATAAAATGACTCAAGGATTACCAAGGTAAATTCAAGGTTATGACAAAATTGTTTTTGTACATATAAGAGGGGTTTAAATTTACGAATAACCAAGGCTTCAGTAAAGTTATGAAGTCGTCCTTGACAATTTCTATACAACGTTTTAAAAGCTGCATTTATGTCAATTTTGTGCCCCGTTTCAATTATATGCTTCGCTATCGATGAACATAGTTTACTACTTCCCACGTTGATCAGATCGTTTGACACTTATCGGTTTTTAAGCTATCTAGGCCCATGTTTAATGACTTACGTACTTACTTACTTACTTTCGCCTGTTACTCCTTGTGAAGGAGCATAGGCCGCTCACCAGCATACTCCATCCAACCCTGTCATGGGCAATCCTTTCCTGCTCTCACCAGTTCTTATTCATCCCTTTCATATCCGCTTATATTTCCCGATGTAATGTGTTCTTTGGCCTGCCACTTTTCCTCTTCCCTTCACCATTCCAAGTTAGGGCTTGTCTCGTAATGCAGTTTGATAATTTCCTCAATGTACGTCCCATCCATTTCCATCGCCTTTTCCTAATTTCCTCTTCAGCTGAGAGCTGGTTGGTTCTCTCCCACAGTAGGGTGTTGCTGATGGTATCCGGCCAATGGATGTTGAGTATCTTGCGTAGACAGCTATCGATAAATACCTGTACCTTCTTGATGGTGGTTGTTGTAGTTCTCCAAGTTTCAGCTTTGTTCAGTAGAACTGCCTTGATGTTCGTATTGAAGATTCTGACCTTGATATTGATTGACAGAGAGTTGTTTTGAGTTCCATATGTTCGTCAATTGTAGGAATGCTGCTCTTACTTTGCCAATCCTCGCCTTTACGTCTGCATCTGAACTTCCTTGTTTATCGATGATGCTTCCTAGGTATGTGAAGGATTCCACATCTTCCAGAATTTCTTCATCAAGAGTGATTGGATTGCTGTTCTCCGTGTTGTGTTTGAGGACCTTGGTTTTCCCTTTGTGTATTTTGAGGCCTACTGAT